TTTTATTTTTTTTTTTAATATATCATTATTATATGAATTGTTTTTTTAATAAATTCTAAACTTTCACCCCCGCAGAAGAGGTGTTTGTGTTGGGGGAGGCGGGGGAGTTGGAAAAAGTGCTGGCGGAGAGGGAGGGTGGGTTGGTGTTTCCGTTGATTGTGAAGCCTTGTACGGGGTGGAATAGTGATTGTGTGGTGAAGGTGAGGGATGTGGAGGCGTTGAGGGCGGCGGTGAAGAGGGCGTCGGCCAGGCATGCGGATTCGCCCGCGAAGAATACGGGCGTGGTCGTCGAGCCGTATGTGGATGGGCCTGAGGTGGATGCTAACTTTGTGGTGCTGGACGGTGAGGTCCTGTTCTGCGATGTGACGGACGACTTTCCGTGCTCGGGGGATTTGGTCGAGGGCAAGGCTGCCAACTTCATGGAGACCTTGATGGACGTCCCCTCGGCGCTGCCTCAGAACGAGCAGGCCATGATGGTCGAGTCTCTCCGGCAGAGCATCAAGCGGTGCGGGTTTTCCTCGGGAATCTTCCACTGCGAGGCTCGCGTCCGCAACTCCAACGCGTACTACACGCCGCGGGAGGACAACGGCATCCTGGACCTGCACGTCCGGAGCGAAAGCGCGACCAAGACCCCATCGTGCTACCTGCACGAGGTCAACGCACGCCCCCCGGGGTACATCAACTGCGTCGCCGCGCTGCTCGCCTACGGGGTCGACTACTACGCCATCCGGCTGCTCCTCGCGCTGGGACCGAGCGAGAAGGACCGCATCAAGGCCTTGGCGCAGCCTTTCCTCGGCGGCAAGCCCCAGTACACGCTCGGCATCGCGGTGCTTCCCCCAACGCGGGAGGGAATCATGGGCTCCGAGGACGCGGTTGGGGAATTCCTCGAGGCGAACCCGGACCTACAGGAGCACGTGGTGTTCCATCAGACGGTCAAGGAGCGGGGCGAGGTGGTCCAGGGCCCCGATTCGAGCGAGTTGTGGTGTGTGGGTTATGTCATTGTTGCGTCTCCTCACGGCCGGAAGGCGTGCTTGGAGCTTGCCCAGAGCGTTCGGGAGAGATTCGATTACAAACTGTTGGATGAGTGATGGGATGGGTGGTGCTTGGAACTTTGGGAATGAGACCGAGAGGAGTGAAACATGAAATTCTTGGCCTGATGCGATGCCAAGCTCTTATTATCCTTTGCAATGGTCGTGGCTCTGATCTTCCGTTAGATAATGCTACGCAGTGATGCTACAACGGCGGGGAGTTCCCATCCGGATTTGCTTGTTCGGGCCAGCTCCCGTCTTGGCTCGGCCCCTTTTGGCCCTGTCTTAACCCATCCGCCTACCACCCGAAGGCCTCATCCACCAACACATACGGCCTTGTTCCTGGGCCATTCCTCGACAGCTGGACCACCTTGTGACGGACGTGGTCCGCCATCCCGGGCGGGCCGCACACCACGATGCCGAGCGGCCCGTCATCCGTCTTGTCGGCCAGGGCCTTTTCGAGGATGCGCTCCAGGTCCAGCCGCTGGCCCACCGTCGTCTCGGTCTCGACGCTGGCCGGCAGCGCCGCGAGCGCGGGTTCCAGCGCGGCCAACAGGCCCGCCTTGCGCGTCGCGAAAAAGAACTTGGACGGCACGCTGAGCCGTCGGAGGTAGGGGAGCAGCGCCGTGACGCCCACGCCGCCGGCAATGTACAGAACCCCCGAGCACTGCTTCAGCTGTGTCGTCACGTCTCCGGAGTGGTGGTATGGCCCGTCCACCAGCACGCCGAGCCGGATCGACCCCGAAGCGGCGGCGGCCCGTTTCGCCAACACGCCAGTGAAACCGGTGCGGACGCGCGCGAGGAACGTTGTTGTTTTCTTCCCTTCTCGGGAGGCGGCCGCGGGTGAGGTGATGGTCACGGTCTGCTTAGTTACGGACGTCTCCTTCTTCTCCGGGTCTGAGCTGGAGTGTGTCGGGGTGGACGGCGGGGAGGAGTCGCTGGCATCGCTGGTTCCCCTGACCTCGCTCACCTCGCTGGAGTTGAAGGCGACCGAGAATGGGTGGGATTCCCACAGGCGCCAGCTCAGAGACGGGAAGGTCAGGTAGGCCACGCCCTCTCCGAGCTGCGCGTTCTCGATGTCGATGCGCAGGTACTCGCCGTCGGTGTCCTGGAGCACGGTCACGGTCGCGGTACGGTAACCCCTGAAGGCGATCCGCACTAGGCGGAAGAGACGATCACAAGCCCAGATGCCAAAGGCCACAAAGGCCCAGATCTCGTAGCCCCATGCGTACTCGTAGCAGTACCAGATGTGGTAGTAGTAGCCGATGAGAAAGAGCAGCGAGAGGGCAAAGTGGGAGACCACGAAGAACTCGTAGAAGGCTTGCCGCACCCACAGCAGCGAGAACGGGAAGATGGCGACGCAAGCTACCGTGCCCACGATGCCCCAGACCCAGTAGTCGCGCGCCAATTCCGCCGCGTAGTCGCCGTAGAGCTGGTAGTAGAACCAGAGCATGAACGAGTGGATCACGGTGTGGATGACGGCCCAGTATCCCAGCCAACGGTGCAGCAACAGGTAGGTGCTGTAGCTCCAGTCCGTGACCCAAAGGAGCACGTTGTTGCGTGCGGCAAAGACGAACAGGGCTACCACGTTGCCCATGGCCATGACACCCGCGCGGTTGCCGATGATGCTGAGTTCCTGCTCGGTGAGCGACCCGAATGTGCTCTGCGGGTGGTGGTGAACGTATGGGGCGAGCAGGAACACGATGTTCAGGATGCTAATGAGGAGGATGTACAGGGCCTGGCCACGGGTCGGCATCATCCCTACGCCGACCGCTACCGGCTCGCGGTGGTGTTTGCCGTACAAGGCGGGGTTGATCATGGCCGACTGCAGTGAGTTCCAGGCCCGGCTCTTGGCGATGCCGGGTACGAACCGGAGCAGAGAAAGCGGGACCGGCAAAAAGATGGCGACAACCATGACGGTGATGCTGTAAGTGGAGTGGCCATGCTCGTTGGTCTCAAAGTCGAACATGCCGCTGTACTGCAACTGCCAGTCCGCCGGCGCAATGAAGCTAGTCATATGCAGGGGGGCTTTGGCCTTGATTATGGGTAGGGGGCTGGTGACTTCGGGGCCAGACTCCGTGAAAAACTGGCGAGCCCTGAGCTTCCTCCTCATACCATGGCCGGTGTGCTCCCCCCCGTGGCCGCTCTGGTTGTCCGTGCCGGTCGTCGCATTGTTGGCGAGCGCCTTCCTCTCGTCGGCACGGGCAGCAGCGAGCGCATCCTGATACGAAACCGCGGGCACCCACTGGTAGTCGCCGAGGGTGCCAGTGCCGAGGTGGGAGGCCCAGTAGTCCTCAAGTAAATCCAGCGAGGGGTTGTCGCTGATCGGGCAGTATGTGTCGAGGCACAGGGCCATAGTCCGGAGGAAGGCATCATCCTTCACGAAGCAGTCGGGCGGGGTGCTGACCGGGTTGTGTGCCGTGCCGTGGTTGACGTTAGTGTCGGCGGGCGTGCAGGCAAGGTGGCAGCCCTTGATGACGCCCCGGCAAGCGAATGCGCATGTCGGATTGTACAGCGTCTTGCCGTGTCCGAGCAAGCCCACCCCGTCGCCGAGGACACCGGCGGTGTGAAGGGCGACGAGGGCAACGGAAACGAGAGAGTTGCGTGTCGGCCTCATGTTTGCGAAGCTGTCTCACTCTCAACGCTTACGGTACATGTAGACCGTAGACGAATCGGAGGTTGAAGGTTAACAATACGACGCCTGGGGGCTGCAGCCAAACATGAGAAAGACTCTGGTTTTATCCAGCTACCAAGGCCCCCCCAGCAGTACTGTTGCAGCAGTAATAACTGCCAGGGGCGACTGTGTGTGAGCAGGTTGTGGCGTCAATCCCACTCAATGGTCCCAACCGGCCAAACTTGGCATGTCTCCTGTTCCATTTCGGGGGAGGAGGGCCGCTGTGTCGGCTCCTGGGGCGTTTCCGGCTCGTGGGTGCCGGGGGTCTCTCCATCAAACGTCCACGCTCCACGGGCCGCCGTGGGATTCGAATTTCTGCTTGTCAAGGCCAAGACTTCTTAATTTATCTCCGCTTCGGCTGATGGGGGACCAACCCGCACGCCACCAAGCGGGCAGTACAGGCCCTGTACATGTACATGTACCTCAGCCAAGACCAGAGCCAAGCAAAATCATATGGCAGGACCACTGCTGTTTTGGTATTGTGACTATGGGAACTGGAATTGTCCCCGAGACGGCGAAACCTCGTTTGTATCATTAACATTGAATGCAGCTCATGAATATCCGTCGAGCCTGCAGATGACCTCGGTACAAATAAGTAGCCGCCAGCCGTCGTCAGCCTCTATCATCCTCTCCATGTTCTTCCGCAACACCTCTATCTGGGCCTCCGTATAACCAAACTTCGCGGCAGCTCTGCGGTACTGGGAGTTCTCGTCGGCAAGCATCGTGATCATAGATCCAGCATATGGCAGCCTCTCTTCCGCCGTAATGTTGCTCAGGACGCTGGCTGATGCCGTGATTTGATCCCTGCGGAAGCCGACCTCCAGGGCCTTGCTCAGCAGCTTGCGCCCCGTCTGCGTGTCCAGCCCGTTCATCTCGTAGATGCGCTCCTGCAGCTCTGCGCTCTCTGGGCATGGCGGCCACAACAACTGTGAATGCGTGTCACCCTCGCGGCAGGCCACGATCCCTCCGTCCTTCTTTGCGAGCTGCTTCATCATGCGGAGAACCTCGATGTTGTTGGGGATGCAGATCAGCGTCGTATGTTCATGCACCACATCGAATCCGCCCCCAATCTCCTCTGCGGAAAAGAGGGACTCGGGTTCGAGAATGTTGCCCGCTCGGAACTCGATGCCAGTACCGGGCGCGTGAAGGGGGATGTTGGCATTGTTTCTCTCGATGACCTCCTGTCCCAAGTCCACGCCAATAATCTTGGCCTGGGGAAACCGCCGGGCGAGATCAAAGGTGATGCTGCCGGGACCACAACCGACATCTAGTAGTGTGAACGTCGGTGGAAGTGCTTCGAGGGTTGGGACGAGGTAGCCGAGACAAGTCGTGACATTCCGCAGCTCAAACGCCTTCAAGGTGTCCTCCTTGTAGCCAATGTGGTAGTTTTGTTTCCCGGTGATTTGGTTGTTGGACGCCATCTTCGGTACGATCACCGTGCAAGGTTCCAGTTGCTGCACACCACTTCTCAAAGTATCACCAAGTCGGGATGGACACGAACTCGGCCCGATCCTTATTTCGTCGGTGTTGGGAGTTTATATGCGGCATCGTCTTCCCATTGGGAAGATCTTCAGCCCGAAGTACCTGGTACTTGACCGAGACATGTCAAGCTCGATCGCCCACGTCGCATTCGAGCAGGGGCAAGGATGAATTTGCGCAAGTTGTCAGGCTCTCGGAGGAAGCAGTTTGAGCAAATTTGAGCGGAATTCCAGAGCTCTCCCCAGTCTCTTGGCACTTGGCAACAAGCCATGGTTCTTGGCGTCTCACTCCTCACTCCGTCTTCACGCTCACCCCTGACTCGCTTGTTGACATGGCGGTACAAACGGTGCATACATACAGGCAGGAGCTAGGTACCGATCGTCCCAGACTGACCGCCAGGACGAGTGTTAGGAGAACAAAAGAAGGTGTCGTGAAGGGGGATCCCCTAAGATTGTCCCTGCATTGGCGTTGGAGATAAACACGGCATCCCACGCTTTCAGCCCTAAGTTCTTGCATTGCCGAGTTGCGGCTGTTGCTCATCCGCCAATCCCCTTGCTGAATCCGACGCCATGGGATATCCCCAAACGGACTCTGAGAAAGAGCCTATTCCGTCGCTAGAGCCCGTATCTGACGTCGAATCGACCTTGCCGCGTGACGCTACGGATGAAGAGTTACACGCCCTACCACGGGTGGTCGATCGGATACCCGTTGCCGCTTGGGCTGCAGCTCTCGTGGGTGCTGCCGAGAGGTTTAGTTACTACTCAACCATTTCGATTTGGCGTAAGGGCGTCCAGCCTTGCGGACATGGCTAAACAACGTTGCTAACTACGCCCACAGAAAACTACATGCAGAATGAGCGCAACTCTCGTGCAGTCCCCGGGGCACTTGGTCTTGGTCAATCCACCGCTACCGCCATATCTAACAGCTTCTTTGTATTTTCGTTTGTAACGCCCATGATGTTTGCCATAGCTTCGGATGCTTGGCTGGGGCGATACAAGACGTTGATAGTTGCGTTTTGGTATGAGCGCCACCAAGCACAATGGCCTACGCATTAACTAACTTTCCCTCGACAGTCTATTGATATGCGGAACATTTATAATGTTTGCAACGTCGCTACCGGTGGCATTGGACAACGGCGCGGGCGTTCCAGGGTTGGCCGTTGCCATGGTCTTGATAGCCCTGGGAATAGGGGGTATCAAGTCAACAATAACCCCTTTTATTGGTTTGTTCCCTAGGACTCAACTGCACGCTTTTCATTGTTAACGCTCTCAGGGGATCAATATAAGAATGGCAAACCCCGGCTTATCCGACAAAAGAATGGGGAGTTGGCTGTAGTCGACGGCTCTCGCACCATTCAGTTTCTGTACAATGCATTTTATTGGTGAGCGCCACTACTACTATTCCAACTCCCAGAAGCTCTTCTAACACATACTGACCGCTTCAGGCTCACCAACATAGCCTCAATGTCTTCCATCCCGGCCACATTTCTCGAGCATGGATATGGCTTCTGGACGGCGTACCTCATGTCCGCAATCTCACTCGTGATCTGCTTGGTGATGCTGCTCAGTCTGGGGTCCAAGTTTGGTGAGTCTTGAATCCTTCTTAAGACCCATTCTCGTGGTGGCGTTGTTGGTCGCTCACCAATTTATCAACTACAGTCAAGGTCGTCCCCCACGAAAACGTCCTACCAAAGGCCATCAAAGCCTTGAGCACGGCGGCCCGGAACGGGTTCAAGCTCGACCACGCCAAGGAGTCCTACCAACAACAAAAGCACGGCCACGGCGTCCCCTGGGATGACCGTTTCATCGACGAACTCAAGACGGGACTGACAGCCTGCCGGGTGATGTACGCACCCACCCCACACCCCCCGTTCTCCCCCCACCATCCCAACTTTTGAACCAAACCCACCCACTAACCAACCACCCCTCTTACCAGCTTCTCCTTCGCCTTCTTCTACCTCTCCATCACCCAAATGTACAACAACCTGATCTCCCAAGCCGGCCAAATGAACCTACACGGCGTGCCCAACGACATGATCCAAGCGATGGCCGGCGTAGCCTGCGTTCTCTTCGGCCCCCTCATCCAAGCCCTCTACAACGCCCTCGCGCAGCGGCGCATCCGCTTCGGCCCGATCGCGCGCATCTCCACGGCCTTCCTCATCTGCGGCGGCGGCATGGCCTACGCGGCCGGGGTGCAGCGCCTGATATACGATGCGGGGCCGTGCTATGACGCGCCGCTGGCTTGTGCGGCGTCGGAGGGGGGCAGGACGCCCAATGAGGTCAATGTGTGGGTGCAGCTGCCGGTGTATGTGGCGTTGGCGGTGGCGGAGATCTTTGGGCTGGTGACGGCCAGTGAGTATTCGTATGAGAAGGCGCCGCGGGGGATGCGGAGTGTGGTGCAGGCGATGGTGCAGTTGAGTGCTGGGGTGGGCGCGTTGTTGGGGATGGCGATCAGTCCCGCGGCGCGGGACCCGTGGCTGGTGGCGGTCTATGCGGCGCTGGCGGGTGCGATGGGGGTGTGCTCGTTGTTGTTTTGGTGGTTCTTTCGGAAGTATGATCGGATTGATGATCAGTTGAATCGGATTATTGATGGGACGTTGGAGAAGCAGGGAGCACAGGGGGAGCAGAAGACACAGGGAGCACAGGGGGGGCCAACTGAGCGGGAGGGTTAAGGGGTAGGGAGTCCAGCAGCGCCGTTGGGTCCGTAGGTTAAGCTACCTAAATAGGTATGCATGGCCGCTCAGAGTACATCGGTAAAATCCACAAGCGGGTGTTTATGTTTATCAGCAGTATGTACTCCGACCTTTATACGGCTTTTGTCCCAACTTGAGTCCTCCTGGTCTTTTGGCCCCTTCCACCTCCCTCATTGTGTGAGGATTGGCTCCATGATGAGCCAATGGCGGCAGGTAACTGATAGTCTAATTCGGCCTTTGGACTTATTTTGCCTGTTCAAGTAGGACTTCACATTACCTTCACCACATCCGACAACTTTTGTTCACTGTCTGTGTTTCTCATCGTGCATTGCAGCATAAAAGTCCATACACACATACATGCACATATACCCGTCCCCCGCGCCAAACAAAACCCTCACTTCGTACTCGGATTCGGGCTGATCTTCTCCTCAGGAAACTTCCTCATAATATCCGCAATATGGTCAATCGGCGCCGCCAGCATGCCCAGCGCCGACTCGAAGTAGGGGTTCTCGCCAGCGCTCGGATGGCTGCGCGACGGCACCAACGCCTTGGTCAGACCAAACTTCTTGGCCAGCCTCTCCGACTCTCCCGCCGCCTGGGCCGTGGTCAGCGCCGACTCCAGCGCCGGCAAGTCCTGGTGCTCCTCCTCCTCGATGTGCGCCGACAGCACCCCCCAGAGCTCGTTGAGCTTGGGGATGTAGTCGGGTTCCTGGGGCTTCATGTTTTGGAACTCTTTTAGGAGTTCTTTGACCTGGAAAGGGGGGGGGGGATTAGTTATGGGTGGTCGGGGGTGGGTAGAGGAGGGGGCTGGGTACCTACCCTGTGGTGGTCCTTGCGGTCAGATTCGGCCATCTCGTGGCCTTTGGTGCCCATGTTGTCGGAACATCTACGCCAGAGTTACGTCCTCGCAGGGGGACGTGACGGAGGGCAGGGGGGGGTCCACCACTGGGGCAGTCGTCACGTGGTCCTGGACCTCGGGGACGACAACCCCGGCTGCAAAATCTGAGCCCCCCTCATTTCTAGATAGAAGAACATGATCCAATTGAACCACGAATATAGCACGTCCCTCCAGAGAGAAGGGATTTGCCCTGTGCTTCTAACGCTATCGCGATACCTGGTATTCCCTACACTGATCAGTGGTTAATTATACCACTGTTAGACAGCTCCCGCCACAGATCAGCAAGGTTTCCAGAAGAGACGGAATTGTCGGAGAGGTTCTACCGGAGTAGTGACTTCTTCAACAAAACCGTGCTAAGGAGCATTCTCGACACCTTTACTTGGACTCAGTCAAAAGGAAGGAACACGAGAGGCTCAATCCTACAGTTCGGACTCAGGACGCACTGAAGGAACGTCCATCACGCATTCCCCGCTCGCCAAGATCCTCGCGAGCTGCTGGCAACCGCCGCAAAACCAAACATCAAATCCACTTTCCAAAGAGGTAACAATGCCTCAGACAACATCGTCACCAGAGGAACTGGACCCGGGCTCGTCAACGCCAGGGAACAGCCAAACCGGAGGGAACCCGCTTACACCGCCAATCCCCCAGCACATCCTGTCCTTCGTGGATCACTCCACATGGGGAGACCTCGCGGCCATCGACGAGATCGAGGAGCCCACGCCCAAGCAGATGAACTCCCACATCTATTTCCTCATGGAAATTTTCTGGGCTTCTACGAGCTACGCAGGACGAAAGCTCTGGGGCGCATTCAAGGACGAATTCGACGAATGGACCGCCCAACGATGGGACATGGTTCCCGACCGTACCCGAAAGCACCTCCGCGCCTTCCTGAGCACCAACGGCGTGTATGTCGACAATACCAACACCCCCCCTACCAGCAAAGTTCGGAGCTCATCGCCAAAGTGTGCCACCACTGCCAAATGCACTCCGCACGCCCAGCTCGCTTCAAATTCACCCTTCACGATGATTGCGAGTTCAACTACGAGGTCATCATGGATATCTTCTACGTGGAGGGCAACAAACCAGTTCTACACCTCGTCGACGCGGCCACAGCTTTCAACGCCGCGCGTTTCCTTCCAGACGTATCAACAAAGTACGTGTGGGAAGCATTGCGCCTTTGCTGGATTGACGTGTACCAAGGACCCCCTGACTACGTCGTTACCGATGCAGGGAAGCAATTCGCCTCCACAGAGTTCCGCCAGAACGCCAAGGAGATGGCGATTACCGTCAAGGAAGTCCCGATCGAAGCCCATAACAGCATCGGCAAGGTAGAACGGTACCATGCACCTGTACGACGTGCGTACGAAATCCTACGCAAAGAGGACCCCTCTGCAAGCCCAGAACTGTCTCTGCAAATGGCTGTCAAGGCTGTGAACGACACTGCAGGTCCCAACGGACTTGTGCCAACTCTGTTGGTATTTGGCGCCTACCCAAGGATGACACACAACTCTGCGCCATCGCCAACGCTACAACAACGCGCCCAGGCGATCAAGAAAGCCACAGACGCCGTCCGCAGGCTCCATGCTGAACGCAAGGTCCAGGAGGCCCGCACCACACGCAATGGTCCGGACACCTTACGCACCACGACCCTTCCACTGCAGTCACGTGTGAGAGTGTGGCGCGAGAAAAGCCGCCGATGGGAAGGACCTTTCACATTAATCGGTGTCCACGACGAAGACTGCATCGTGGAAACAAGCCGCGGCGCACAGAAGTTCCGCTCTACGGTGGTCAAGCCGTACTACGAGGACCCTGCTCAACAGGACGACCCTGCGAACCAGAAAGACACCGCAGAGAAACCAGCACCTGAAGTTCCGGACTCTCAACCAAGGAGCACGACCCCTCCTGGAAACGCCATCGAAGAAGAGCCAATCCTCGATTCGATAATTGTGGCCACTCATGCGCTCTTCCCTGGGGACGAAGACGAACTCCCAGACGACGGACCGCACAGGAACACTCGACCACGCAGAACCCACTTCGCCCACGCATTCCTCCAGGAGAGCGATGTTCGAGAGGACGAAATCTTCGAGATCTTCTTGTCAACGAAGGAACAAGCAGACGCCGCACTCGCAGTCCAGTTGCGCGCCGATGGCAAGGTCACTACACCCGGGGAACCTTTTGAGGAGTCTTCTAAACAAGAGATCGAGAGCCTTATTACCCGAGGCGTCTTCGAATTTGTCAAATACGACGAGGACTTACACGGCGACGCAGAGATCTTTAAGTCAAGGATCGTAAACGAAATTAAGGGCAAGACAACGGACAAGCCCTATGAGAAATCGAGGCTTGTGGTCCAAGGCTTCGGAGACGCAGGAAAGGAAGCCATCCTCACGCAGTCGCCAACAATCCAACGCGCAAGCCAACGCCTGATCCTCGCAATCGCGCCGTCACTTCAGAGACAGGGTTGTCTCCTTTGGCTGCGCGATATTACGCAAGCCTACGTGCAGTCGGAAAAGGCACTCCAGCGCAAGATTTTGGCATTTTTGCCCCCAACAGATCAGGCACTTATACCCCGAGGGAACCGTGATGCGCGTGATCAAGCCGTTGTACGGGCTGGCAGAGGCAGGAACCTATTGGTGGGTCACATACCACAACCACCATTTGAAGAGGCTCCAGATGGCAACCTCTACGTACGACCCCTGCCTGTTGATCTCCTCCCCCGAGAACCCGGAATTTGCCTGCGTGGGGATGCAAACAGACGATACTCTGGGTCTGTCAACAGAGGCGTTCTCACAACGCGAGAACGATCAACTGAAAGGAGGCGTTCATTCAGCGCCAAAGACAAGCAATTTCTCACCACCGCGGAACCCCTGGTTTTCAACGGCGGCATCGTTACACTCAACAAAAACGGTTCAATCACCCTGCGGCAGAAGGGTCAAGCCCCAGAAGCTGCAATTGATCGACGCCAACGCGCCAGACGCCAAACAACAGTACGTTCAGCAACGGGCTCGCGGCGCGTACATCGCTTCAATTTGCCAACCCGAGGCCTGCTTTGATCTCTCCAGCGCAGCCCAACACCAAGAACCGACCCCTGACGATATCAAGACTCTTAACCGAAGGATCCAGTGGCAGATGGACTCACAGGACAGGGGACTCACGTTCTTACCCCTGAACCTGGAGACTGCAAGACTGTACGTCTTCGTTGACGGCTCTTTTGCCAACAACAGAGATTTCACCTCCCAGCTCGGGTTTGCGATCATCCTGGCCAACGAAGACGAGATCAACGATCGCCACGAGTTCTCCATTACAGGGAACCTCATCCACTTCAGCAGCACCAAGAGCAAGAGGGTTACCCGCAGCGTCCTAGCTTCCGAGGTTTACGGAATGGTGGCCGGCGTGGATATGGCTTACGCCCTGGCTTCAACATTACGCCAGATCACTGCCCACCTGAACCTTCCTGCCATCCCAACCATCGTCTGTACAGATTCTTACTCACTGTACGAATGTCTTGTGAAACTCGGGACTACGAAGGAAAAGCGGTTGATGATCGATATCATGGCACTGCGCCAGTCCTACGAGCGCAGAGAACTCCAGGAAGTGAGGTGGATCAATGGAGAGGACAATCTGGCGGACTCCTTTCACAAAAACAACGCCGAATCGTGCCCTGGAGCGGTTTGTTGACTGCAATAGTGCAACTGTACGCGTGGAAGGATGGGTCTCACGTTAGGAGGCCTTTGGGGGACTACGAAGGGGATATTTGGGGACATGTACGTAATCCGAAAGCCCACCTGCGAACCTCTGGCGTTTCCGATGGCCTCAAAAGAAAGAAGACTGCCAGTGTCGGAACATCTACGCCAGAGTTACGTCTCTCGCAGGGGGACGTGACGGAGGGCAGGGGGGGGGTCCACCACTGGGGCAGTCGTCACGTGGTCCTGGACCTCGGGGACGACAACCCCGGGCTGCAAAATCTGAGCTCCCCCTCATTTCTAGATAGAAGAACATGATCCAATTGAACCACGAATATAGCACGTCCCTCCAGAGAGAAGGGATTTGCCCTGTGCTTCTAACGCTATCGCGATACCTGGTATTCCCTACACATGTGCTTCTCGAAGGCGGGGTAGACGAGCAGTTCCTCGGCTACGCTGTGACGAGCTAGCTCCCAGGTGAACTGGTTGCCGAAGCGTTCCTGGTGATCATGGTCCTTGGAGCCAATGACTTCGTTGTAGCACCGCTCGATTTCTCGGTGGTCCTTGGTGATGACGTCGGAGATGGTGGACATGGCGGCAACGTTGAAACGGGTGGATGCGAGTTGGCGCGAGGCAAGGGGAGGACGTATTTGCAAAGCTGCCCTAAGAGGTGACGACACAAGAGGGCGCAACCGAAACATAATATCTGAGAGTGGTGGCGCAGGTGTAAGTGAGAATGATGTGGACGAGGGGACAATGGGGACGGTCGATTTAATAAACCCAAGATTATGAGTGGCCAGAGAGTTACGACGTCTCCTTGATTAATAGCCCCTGTGCTGTAGGCGATTCGTCGGTAATTCTTGATTTTGGTAAGAAATGATGTCGTTGATTGTATGACATCACCATTTACAACTCATCCACACCGTTAGCTTGGCTTCGGGGTTACACCCAGTCTCGCCTTTCAATGGCTTAGGAAAAACCAATCATCGTCCTTGTTACTCTGGATTCCACCTAACACTGGTTTTGTAGAATGAGTATCATCCCACATACATGAGCGACGATGAGGTCGGGTTTGGCCCGCGTACAAAGCCTCGGCTACCATTTTGTAAACTTCCGTACTTAGTCTGACTGTTGGCTCGTTAAAGGCACAAATTAGCACCCTCTTCTCCAGCTCGTAGTTCGAAAACCTCTCATACTAAACCAGACGACGGAACGGTTGCTGGGTTACATGCAGTACAGGGCGCTCCTAGACCCGTTACGATCGAGGCAAGAAAACTCTCCGGTCGGAGTACTGGTGGTTAACGGGGCTGACTACCAATCTTTTCATTGCACCCGTCTCATTCACAAATCCGGCAGACAGGGCAGGCACAACAGGGACAACAGGGAGGGTACCTACATGTAGTTTTCTGCACGCGGAAGGTCACAGGGATAAGGGTTTAGAGAATATATTAGGAAGGGTCGCTTAAGAACAACACCATTTTTGCTTGAATATGCTACGCCAGCTACACCCATCGCTCCTAACCGCCACCCCCTTCCTAACTCGCCGGACCCGGTCATGGACGGCCCGCTTACTGAGGAACACAGTAATAAACGACGTTGCAAATGTAAGCCCACTCGGGACCGCTCCGCTCGTACAGCTTGCGGCCGTTATCGCGATAGCAGTTGAAGTTCTTGTAGCCGTTGGTGCCCCAGCTGCACGAAACGAAACATGTCAGTCTTGGCCTCGCAATCGGAGAAGAAAAATAGTAACGTACCCGGACCACGAGTACAGCGGGCGGCTCTGAGCATCCGAGTCGATGTGGGTGGTGAAGGTCACGCCGGTCGGGAAGGTGCACTGCTTGCCGTCCTGCTCCCACCAGGTGTAGTTGCTGCTGTCGACTGTGCATTCGTCGTTGGAGGCGGGCTCCTCGCCGTTCTGGGACTGCCCGCTGACGGGGTAGTACTGTGAAGTGGCAGTCAGCGAGTGTTGACACTACAAGCAGAGCTGCGTTGTCTGGGTTGGGATACTGACGGCAATGTGGGAGGAGTGCCCTTCCGGCGTGCAGCAGGAGACAAGGTTCCTGCAGTTGGTGAGATAGATGATCTCGGTGTCGCGCTTCTCGAGCGAGCCCGACTCCCTAGGGGTGACACCCAGGGGAGAGGCGGTGGCGAGAGCCACCAGGAAGGTGAGAGCGGCAAACGGCTTCATGGTGAAGATGTGGAAGATGGCAAGTGAGATGTTTCAAGAGCCTTCGTTGGGGTTTGTGGTGCAGATCTTGACGCTTTTTACTTGCCAGACAAAGCTGGTTATATACCTTTTCCAAAAGACGCCCATGCTATCGACAATGGCTTCTCCGAATCCCTCCGATTATCTCATGTCGAAAAAAGTTAGACAGATTGCGGTGGCACGCCGCTTCCGACCGAATGCACCGAGATGCTGACCCGCCTTGCTCCATGTCATTTCGCCTTTATTGGGAGACAAGGCGCTACCTCAAAGCCAGCGGCTGCACTTCACGATGCATGGTTGGTGTTGAAAATGGATGCCTGGGTGAGGTAGCATTGGCGTTACTCAGCCCATCTCACTCAGCCCTGCCTTCCAGCCATCTGTGGCTCCACGGGGAGTTACTCAGCGACGTAGCTAGACCGCGAGAGGTTGCCACTATGAGGAAGCCCGCATCAATAGTTTCTCGTGCATGTGATGCTACATATGTGCGTTATACCATGCGAGGAGCCAGACTCCATTTCCCTCTGCGCCCGCACGCCCTTCGGTTGGCGAATTGAGGTGGCGCGCTCTTTTTGGGCTGGAAGTGGCCTTGCCCAATTTCCGGGCTCGGACCTTTGCTGGGTGTGCCGTCTTTTGTATGTCGTCGCGGCATTATTGGGTCCTAATAGACAATTGGTGGACGTGGTTTGGCGTTGAGGTCGTGGTGAACTAGGTCGCTGGCTGGGGACTCGCAGAGCGAGAATCCGCCACTCACTCCCCGAACACAGCACCGAGATATCCATCGCGTAAACCGGTGTGGCATGTCAGGCATGTCAGCAAAAGTGAGGGAAAGGGTACTAAAACTATGGTAATTTTTGGCCTAGGATAGCGTGGATCATGGTTGGGTTGAGCTGACGTCCCGGGGTACAATGACACCCGTGAACCGAACCGCTAAACACCCTTCCCATCCTGACCAAAGTATCGCCCGTCGCATCCCGTCCTGAGAGAAAGACCGCCCCGTGAAAGTCGGTTGGTGAGTACGTACAAGACAAAAACAACAAAGAGAAGAAGCAAGATCTCCTGAAAAGGCAAAAGATAACCGGACCGGGTATCATCACCAAACGCCGGATCTTAAGGCGCAACGCCCCCTCCAAGTTCCCAACGCCCCGATCCAACTCCCCCACCCAAACTCATCATCCACCCTCAATCACGGGCCTCTTACGCCCCCCCACCAGCACCAGCACCAGCACCACCACCCCTCTTCCTCCCACCACCACAACCACCACCACCAGCACGGCTCACCCTCGCCCACTTCTCCCCCTCCAAAAACGCCTCCCCCATCCTCACCAACACCTCCCTCCCCAACCCACCATCCCCCTCCCCCCCACCACCCAACCTCCCTCCCCCTCTCCTCCATCCACCAATCCACCAACCGGCTATCCCTGCGGGCCCTTGCGCCCCTCATACGCGCGACACACCCACACCCCCTTCCCCTTTCCCACGCTGCCGTCCGCATAGCGCACGTCATGCACCAGGTGGTAAAACGCCTCCTGCCCGTGCGGCAGCACGTCAAAGGTCTCCTGCAGGTTCGCGAGGAAGGCGCGCGAGAGCGCCGTGTACGGGAGGAAGGCTACGCCGCCGATGGGCCAGTCGCGCTGAAGGAGGAGAGGCGATGTACACGGGGCCGTCGTCCTCGTTGTCGGGGGAGGGGGAGGGGGAGTTGTTGTTGTTGTTGTTGTTGTTGTTGGGATTGGCATCGTCGTCGACGTCGTCGGGATCGCCGCGGGCCGCGTTGCGGGAGTGGGCGGGGTCGGTGTACATGGGGAAGTGGAGGGCTGCGGATGTGGCGAGGGCGGTGCCTTTGATGCGGGTCGTGTAGTTGGTGGAGGCCGGGTAGCGCGAGATGAGGAAGGTGGCGTCGGGGTAAAGACGGCCGACGGCGGCGAGGTGGCGCGCCGAGATGGTTATCACGCGGTTGATGGGCTCGGGGGCGAACGGCGGGAGCTGGTTGACGCGCCACGGTGCAAAGGGGAGGGACGGGTCCGTGTCGAAGGCTGGGAGAGGCGGGTCGTACATATTGATGCGTTGCGGCTGCTGCGCGGGCGGGACGTATTCGTTCATAGTGCGAGCCCTGGGGAGGGGAGTCCAATAGGTGGCGGCCGGATTGTACAAGGGATCGTAGATCAGAGCTGGGTGGATGTCGGGGAGGTGCGGCGTGGGCTCGTCATCCTCGTCGTTATCTTCATCACCGCTGCTGTTGTTGCTCTGGTCGACCTCTCCACACTCGAGGTCGTTATCCTGCCCTTTGTCACCAAAGCTTTCGTAACCACCAGAGGTCGGCTCGCTCCGGGGGTTGGAGCCCATCTGAGCGATGGTGCTCAGATTGTCATTTTTGGCAAGATTATCGAGTCCGAAATGAGGGTCGTTGGTATAGGAGTTTAGGTGGATTTGTGCACTCCCGATAAACAACCCATTCGCAGGGTTGTACATTCCATTGGAAGTGGGCTGCATGTTGCCCACAATGGCCTGCGATCCGTTCGCCGTCGCGTGGGAGGTGCCCGCTCCGTGGGTCGCGGAATTGCCGACCCCGTTCTGCGCCAAATAGTAGGTGTAAAATTGACCGTTCCCGGTCGATTCGTGATTCGCGCTCGGCTCCATTGTCTCGCTGCTACTCGGGGCGGAATCTTGATTGATGGGTTGATCCGTCCCAAGAGTGAGTTGTTGCTGTTGTTGTGGTTGTTGCGGAGGAGCGGCGATGGTTGCGAATAAAGCAGGGTCGAGTAACGCAGGGTCGATCAACGCGTCACTCAACACTGCGGCAGAACCGGAGGCGGTCTGGGCACTGGTTCTCGGGTTGGAAGAACCAGTGGCCGAGTCCGTCCGGTCGCCAGAGTCGGTCGAAATACCGGTTGGTGGCATTTCGAACCGCGGGAAGGAGTGGGCGGGATGGGTGGTGGCACTGGTGGGATGAATACCAGTGCCGGCGTTTGGGGAGGGCAGAGGAGGGACCGCGCGGGTGGTGGTGGGAGCGTGGTTGGCGGGACCACGCGGAAGCCGCTCGGGATTAGGGTAGGGAGTTTCCTCCCCTTCCTCCTGGCTGACTTCATCCCGAGTCAACCATTCCGCCCCGCCGTGGCCACCCCATGCCAGCTGGCCATGGGCCGCAACAGCACCGCTACCGTCGGTCTGAACATTGCTGTCCTCCCGAAGGTAACGGGCTGAAGGGCCCTCCGAGCCGACCAAGGCCGACCCGGCCTGGCCGGCTGCGGGAGCAGCCACGGGGTTGGCGACGGAACGGCTGGCGGGGGATGAAGCCGCCAGGCCTCCCAGCACGAAGGGGCTCTCGGGCACGGGGTTGGTAAACTGGACAAAGTCGTCCAGCCCGCCAGAAGTGCCAACCCCGTCGCCCACCGAGGCCCCGTCCCCCCGCTCGCCGCGGGTTCTCAAGGGAGCGTGACTAGAAAAAAGCCGGTTAGCGAATAAACAAAGTCTGGAGGAACCCGGCCATCCCGTCCCTGACCCCAACGTCCACATCACCACATAACACCCGTCCTTCGATAGCCATTGCAGGAATACCAGCATCTACCGCCAATAACCTAGCCCCGCCCAAAAGAAATCGACAAACATCCATCAAGGACCACTCCCCGCGAACCAGAGTTTCGAGCAAGCCTCCCCCCAAAAAGCGACAAGAAAACAAAGAAAAGAAAAAAAAAAAAACCGACTTACCCATCGCCCGCCACACTCCGCGCAGTGACCACGATCTCCTGCCTGAACGGCACCGACCCCACTAGCCACCATGAGGGCAACCCCCCGGGACTCTCCCGACGGCGCGGCGTCCGCACACCAAGCGCCCGCGAAGAAACCGCCGAGCGCGCCGAGGACGCAGGCGAATTGTTGGATGACTGGACCCAGGACGCGTCAGCAAACAAACACAAAAGCAAACCAACACCACCAGACTCGGCCAGAACCCCGAGGAAAAGAAGAGACGAGAAGGGGGGGCAAGGCAATTCGCTCGTGGAAACAGTCCTAGAATCGGGTGGAGGCAAGGACAATGGGGGACAGCGGGGGGTAACGGGGGACAACAACAACAACGAGGTTGAGACGTACTGTGGAGGCGGCGTTGCTATCACCGGGGGTCCCGCCGCCCACAGAGGAGAACGGCCGCGTGCGCAGCCCGTTGCTGGGGGCGCGCGGGAAGAGGATCCGCCGGGTGCGGCGGGAGGGACCGAGAGCGGGAGACGGAGGGCGGGCGTCGGCGGGGAGGGCGGACGCGATGGCCGGGTTGGCGGGGGTGGTGATGACTCGGTTGGGAAGGGGGGGCGGCTGGGGGCTGTCGGCGGCGGTGGTGGTGGTGTTGGTGTTGGGTCGCTGAAGGGGGGTATTGTTAGTGGTGGTTTGTTTATTGATTGCATGCGAGTTGAGTGGATGCCAGATGGGGACGGGCCGGGCGGGAGGGGATTGTGGAAATAGGGAAGGGGCAACTTACGGGAGCGCGAGTCGGGGTCGCTGGCGTCGAGGGCGGCCCCGCGCGCCACAGGTACTCGCGTGAGTTGGGCGGCGAGTCGCTCATCGCGGCCCCGTCGTCGACTTCGGAGAGCGAGGCAACGGAGGGGGAGCGAGAAGCAGGGCGCGTCCGCGAACCCGACGGGGTCGAGGGCTGAGACTGTCTTTGGTTCATGGTGGCGGTCTTGGTGCTTGTTCGTTTTGGTGTTGAGGGAAAGAATAGAAGAAGAGAATTGTGGGAGGGGCAGCGTTTAGGGCAGAGTTCGCAGGCAAGCACCTTCTCCATGACTGTTTAAAGCGGAGACTCCCATGTTTGGTTTTGTTAACTCTGCAATAGCTAGCACTGTCCTTCTCGGCGCCGGCGAGGATCAGGAGAACTGCGGCTGGTTGGTGGGAGCGGCTTGAACCGTGGCTCGGCCAAATGTGCTTTGAATGGGTGGCAAGGGCAGCCAGCGACGGGGTATAGATGGATGCTGGGTAGTGCAAAGTCCATGAGAGAGTGTCAGGGACAGGGCATTGTCGATGACAAGCTTACAGACACTGAATATCACTTCACTGAATAGCGTCGTGGAGTTAACAAACACTAAAGGCGCCCCCTTTGACTCCAATGCATGCAGTCCAAGCACATAACAGGACCGGGGCGATGTGGGATCCAGGGTTAGAAAGACTAACGCACCGTCAATCATCGAACTGACAATCACTAGCAAGAGCAGGTACTTGAACGAATACAAAAACAAGATCAGCTGGGCATCAATGACGGGGTTCACCTCCAACAAGGACAAGGTCGTGCAAGCTGGCATGCTTACCCACAGCCCCATCCCCCTTTAAATGGAGGAAGAAAGCCGCCATCAAAGGTGGTTTAAGCCTTGTCATTGGAATCTTTCGACACCAGTAGGATGACAAAACAAGTGTGCTTTTTGAACCCAGGGGCTCCTCTGCCTCAAAGGATAGCACTAGCAAGTTTATTATTAATGTCCCCCATTGATGTCCACCTGTTTAACATGGCACCGAATCCCGGAAGACAAGAGGACTGGCGCTCCTCCTCTTCAGGTTGAGTAGGCCAACTTCCACTTTTTTATCTTTACAGCACTTGAGAGGATTGGAAAAAGCCAACACCAACACATATGGCATCACCAACTGGCAATTGCAAAGCCGACCCTTCATACACTCCACTGACGCCTTGGGTACTCAAAGCGAGCTGACGCACCACATCACAACGGGAATAGGGGGACATCCCACCTCCCGTAAATCTCAACAAACACCGCAAAACTGTGCACTAACAACGAGTTAAAGCATTGCCCAATGCTCGTCCACCTCCCCCTGGCCCAGGCGGTTGTCGTCCTCCTTACCCAAGACGGCAGCCACCGGGGTCTCCAAGGTCTCTCTACATCCGACCCGAAGCCCCGCGTAGTTTTCTAACACTGGAATAATCGCATCGTAGCGTGGCAAAGCGCTTCAAGTCTCCCATGTGCGGTAGGACCGCAGCCATGCGCCCATATGGTGCACGATGGTCAATGGGCTGGATCCCGGGAAGGGCTCTGACACTGGGCGGAAACAAGCCGTCTCGACATCGACGGTACTGGGGAGGTCTTCGAGAACCTGCGAGTTATTGTCGCGGTTGAAGAGGTAAAGACACGGAATGGATGTAAAGAGCGGCTTCGCCAAAAAAAAAAAAAAAGTCGATATATCGTGCTTCGCGATGGATTGGGCTTGCGGTCTGACTCGGTCACTGCCATCGCAAGATATGACCCGTTGCTGCGCCCCGGACGTCCTGGTAATCATGTACGGCGATACTACTCACGACACGTACACGAAAGAGCCATAGTAGCGAAACACTGGAGCGATCAAACTCATACAATGACTCAGCGACGCCGCCCCGGCATGTTGATACTTCGGCTAGCTGGCTTCTACGTCGACTTCGCCATGTTTTTCCATATCCCAGAAAGACCATATTACCAAACTCTCCACCAGAAGAAGAAGAGGGTAACCACCGACACCTCATTGTGGGAGTTTTGGTGGCCTGGCGTGGTCTAGGCCTGGCGGATGGCGGCGGCCAGCTCAACCATGTTGCTTAGGGACAAAGGGCTTCATGACGTTGCCGACGGCTACATGTATGGTGCAAGAGTGGCGTAGACAAGTTTTGGGCAGCATCCCACCGGTGCCTCCCGCTTCCACTTTCTCGTCTTCCTAAGTCCAATGATACCATGCAACGGACCAAGATGCAGGATTCAATTCCGTGAATTGAATGAAACCCTCACGATCCCTTGGAGGTAAACGAGATAGATACAGACGGTTCTTCACTGATGTAATAACGCAGCTCCTCGATGATATCAGCCCGCCCCAAAGTCTCCGCCGCGGATATTGGCGTCAACCCCGTATCGCTTTCGGTTCTGGGGTCGGCCCCAGCTCGCAACAATACTTTCACCGCCTTAAGATGGCCATAACTCACCGCCCACGACAACGGCGTCCGCCCGCCCATATCCCGCCGCTCAATATCCACTGCTGGGTTCGACACAAGAAGCTCCACCGTGGCCGGCGACGCATTATGAATCGCCCACGCCAGCGGCGTCCACCCAGATTCATCTCCCTCGTCAACCCCAGGACATCCATGGCTGAGGAGCATCCGCAGCGAATCCGCTTGTGCACGCTCACATGCCCAGGTGATGGGGCTTTTCAGCTTGTTGTCGACGCTAGCTTTGTCCACCCTGTTGTTTCGTAGAAGGACTCGAAGGGCCGCCACACAGCCATGACCCGCTGCCCACGAAAGAGGTGACCGGCCCTCGTTGTCCTTCAGGTTGGGGTCTATCCACTTCAGTCGGAGCAGCGTTTTCAGCACTTCCTCCATCCCGTCCCCCGCCGCCCACGACACCGCCGTCCGACCCGCTTTGTCGCGGTGATTAACATCAACCCTGGGATGCTGCGCCAGCAACAAGGCTACCGTCTCAGGGCGGCCACTTCCTGCCGCCCAAATCAGCGCCGTGCTGCCCGACTCATCCGCGTCGTCAACCGCGCAGTCCTCCCGACTCAGCAGCGTCTTCACCACCTCGTCGTGTCCACCGTGGCAGGCAAACGACAAGGCCGTCCGCCCTCGCTCTCCCGCCAGGTTCAGATCCGTGCATTTGTCCGCCAGCAGTGTCCTGACGCAGTCCGAATGCCCATTCTTCGCCGCGACAATCAGCGCCGTCTGCTTGCCGGATACCCGGGCGTTGGGGTCTGCGCCCGCGCGCAGAAGGGTATCGACGATCCGGTCGTGGCCCTGCTCGGCTCCCCAGAACAGGGCGGTATCCAAGTGCGCCTGTTGAGGGGGCACATCGCCGCCGAGATAGTCGCGGAGGGTTTCGTGGAAATTGAAGAGCGCGGCTAAAGTTACTGGCTCGGCGCTCTGCGGGGTGCTCTGGTCCCCGGCGATTGCCTCGGTTGAATGGAACCGCAGCCAGTTGGTACAGTGGGTGGTGCTGGTGTCGAGGAGCTTCTTAGCGGCGTCTCTGAGGCTTTGAGGGGCAGATGCTTCGCAGAGCACAAAGTGTTCGGTCCAATGGAGGGCCGCATATTCGTAGAAGGGGTGTTCAGAGGCCAGGAGTCGACAAGTGTCTTCGTCCAGAATGCTGGGCTCTTTGAACATATCGTGGGCATATCCTTCCTCATCTTCATCTTCCCAACCTGTGTTTGAAGTGTCGGAAGGGGATTTGGTGGGTGATTCCACGAGGCTGAAAGAGTCCTCGGCGAAGTCGTCGAGCAAGAGATAGCCGATGCAAGCTGTGGCCATTTCTAGCGCGCAATCTTCCTTCCGGATGGTACGGATAGGCCCAGGTAACTTTTGATTGCGCCCAGTCTCTTGCAGGATGAACTCCTTGGCTGATTGGTGAACCAGGGAAACCTGTGAGTCGGATATCCTCACCAGTTGACCCAGGATGGTATTCAGAGTGCGGTGCATGCCAGTTTGGCAATCTTCTTTGACATCCTTGGCAGTGCGGTGGTTGGTGGCAATGCTGAAAGCGATGTTGATCTCATCCAGATGCAGTGGCCTCGAGCTTCCCAGTATCAGCTTCAGAAGCTTGGAGGCCGCTTCTAGATGGGTTTCGTGGATGCGAGAAACCAGGAGCACATAAGTCATCTCCAGGTCGGAGGGGATCTGCTGGACGAAGACCTTCAAATAATTTGTCGACATCCGAGGCACGGTCTCCAAAGCCGTAAGTACCATGTGCACCCAAAGAAAGGTCTGGCCTGACTTGGAGTAGAGCAACTCCTGAAGGGACTGTCTCAACTTCGGGTCAAACTGGAGCTGCTCGGAGATCTCATCCAGTCTTTGCCGTATGTAGATCTGAATATCGCCATCAGGACCGCCTCGGTAGTCGTCAATACGTATTCGGAGATCCGATACGCGATCAATCATGCGTTCCACATCCTCGAGCGGCCGGCTGGTCAAGACAAACTTGACGTGCTGCCCCCCGGCGTTGGGACGTTCCAAGTCTTGGATAAAACCTTTGATTGCCTTTAGCAACGAACGGCGTGTATCTTCTTCACATTCATCGAGGGCATCGATGATTATGATGGTGGGTCCAGATCTCGGATCCGTGGCGATGTCCCTGAAGAGTCCCCAGAGCGCTGTGAATGACCGAACAATGTTCTGCCCATGCATCTGGTATACCTTGCGTACGTGTCTGGCGAGAGATCTGTGTCGGCGGACGAGCTGAAAAATGAGGCCGATAAGGATGTTGTTCGCAACCTTTTGCTTGCTGATCTTATCATCGCAGAAGTAAATGCAGACGTTGCCAGGGGGGGTTCGAGATTCCCGGGGTGTTTCCAACTGCTTGGCCAGGAAGAATGACAGTATTGTTTTGCCGCAGCCTGGATGTCCCGTCAGCCACAAGAGGGCATTTTCTGCCTTTTCGAGCCATGAGACAAATAATGGGTGTCCCAGTATCCACTGACAGGTGCCCTTGGCCGGCGTAGGAATCCTCATCTGATAATCAGATACGTCAAATCTACTGAAGAGTGACATGCAGGACTTTTCTGAATCGTTCCAACCTGAAGAAGCGATATGTCAGAAATGCTGAACTCTGTTCCACCGACTCTAGCATCGAGAGGGGGGCGACTCACTTGTTTGGGAAGAATGTGTGCTTGCCCGATTGGGTAGACGCGGTGCAGCTTGCGCCACGCGCCGTATTTCTCGCACTACAGTTCTGTACTCGCTATTCTGCGAAGGGAACCTGCAAAGATCCCGATGACTGGCGTAGAGAGGGTAGATTCTTTCTGTGGGAATCGTCAAGGTCGCCGAGATTTTGTCAACGATGACCTGTCGAGGAGTTAGCGAGAGGATGTGGGACTTAGTTGATTCATGTACTACAAGTTGGTACCTAAGGGGGTAATTTGTGCTAGAGAGACCTCGATATGACTTACTGAGGGCCACGAAGATTCCGGTTCAGTCTCGTAGAATGAGACAATCTGAAGACTGCCCAGCCGATCACGAACCGAATCAGCGAGCTCTTGGAGGGCTTTCGAATCGGATTCCAGATGGCGCAAAAGGTCCGTTCGGATTGTTTTGGTCTGCAAACCGGCAGAAGCGGCTTTTAAGAATGTGTTGATCATCGTCCCGACCAGGTTCCCCAGCTTTGCAGTGTCACTGCCCCGATGAGGTGTCCCGAAGAAGACAATACCGGCCATGGATTGCAGTAGTCTTTGGTTAGTGGGGTCCGAATTGTCCTCATGAGCGATCACCAGAGCCTGTGCACTTAGTGTTACAAGCATTACAAGAGGAATGCAGAGAACTTTCACGAACCTGTTTACAAACAATACCTCCTAGGCTATGACAGAGGAGTATTACCGCGCGAGTTTTCTGCTTTGAAGGTCAACATCCAGCCTTATCACAAGGGCGCGCGTAATCTGGGAAACTGTGGAGAAACAAACAACCTGGCATGAAACATCCTGAATGTCTCTTATTTCGCCCAGAAGCCGCCGTGCGTATCCCTTCACCTCAGCAATGGATCTGCCGAACACCTGAGAAGGATACCCGTAGGTAAAAACCCGGCAACCTGGAAGCGAGCCCGGCAGGAAATCCCTGAGCCATAGTGACCCATTCTGATGTGTCCATGTGGTGTAGGAATCGCCATTGAGCCCATGCACTGCGACAATATCAACCGGGTACTGCTCACCACCATCTGGCCCGGGCGTGGTGTCGGCAAGTTTGATGAGGCCAAGACGTTCCAAGGGTATACCCGAGTCGGGGAGGCTGGCCCTGGAAGCACCCGCGGAGGCTGGCCGTGACCGCCCCTTCGTGAGTTTCCCCAGTAGCTTTTTCATGGCTGCGAGGGTATCGCTGACGGCCCGGGCTGAGGCGGCAGTGTGCTGGGATGGGATCTGAACAATCAATAAGTTGAGCGGAATATCCGCACGAGCATGGTGAGATGGCGCGGGGCCTTGTATTGTCATTGGCTTGTGCCACGAAAGTAAATGTTCGGGTCCGAGTCCATTGTGCAACCACTCGGCACATGCCGGTCGATTGGTTGATTGGCTAATCAATGAACAGAGACCTGCAACCCCCGTCCCCCACCCCCTGGCGGGAGCGGCTTCGGCGGCTCGGGCTAGGCCGCCAGATCCGCGTTTCTGGGTGTGGAGGGGTGCTAGCTGCTTCTGGACGCTCAGTGCGCCGGTGACTCCGCACAGTTCTGAGAGCATGATACAGAGCCCATCCGTAAACTAAAATGTAAATATCGAGCAGGCAGTCAGGTGCCTGTGCCGATCCCCTCCCATGCCCCGGTCCTTGAGCATGGAGTGCGGACGGAGAACTAGCAATCGCAATGTGACCTGACCAAAGGAACAATAGCATAAAAACAAGCGTATTTCAGGTACCGCTTCCGACTGGGTGTACATTGCGTGTACCTGTATTATGTACTATTTTGTCAGATGCCAGAGATGGTGGAGGCCCCGGACCGAACCTAAAAGTGTGTGCTCGCAGGTCACTCCAACAGCTGAACGCCCCGTGTTCTTTTGATATCTCCCGTTGGCAAGGAGACATTGGCACCAAAGACGACTCGAGGCTTCCTGTCGGCACAGGACGGATGGCAAAGCCCATACGACCCAAGCCCTATCCAAGCGCTTGCGCTATGGTTTTCACCGACTTCACACCCAACCAACGGACTTGGGGTGGCTCCAGGATATTGTCGCCAGTTAAGGTTGAGGCAGGAACGATATCGGTTCTAGTCCAGGGTCAGATTATGCCTTCAACTATAGCGGAGATCGAACCAAGCTGAGAACACTCACATCGTCGAATCGGGCTGGATGTCTTTGAACGACATCGCCACCTCCACAAACGATTCTTCAGACCAGTCCACTAGATCCCTATAATGTCAATGGTAAGCTTTGAAACTGCATCCACAATCGGATAGAGGTGAAGTACATCTTGTTAAGCAAGATCAGCAACTTATCCTTTGGCTTCAGCGCCCCGCTGCAGATGATGGAGGCCAGGTCGGCGCTTGACGCTGCGCCTCGATCGGGGCTGGAGACATCTACGACCCAGAGGACAATATCTGGCGCCGAGGTGCTATCTGCAACATCAAGGTGAGAAAGTTAACAGCGAAACTCGCATATCACGATGGACGTAGGTAGTCCTCACCATCAACGACAATCTTGGCCGATGGAGCATAAAACGACTTAACAATGCCATTCTGATCAAAGTACCCCGGGACGTCACGATATTGGCCGTCAGTCCTGGATTCTAACCCCTGCAGATGGCTGAGGTCAAGTCCGCACTGATGGACACCGAATTAATATCCGTTCGACTAATCCTCAACTAAGAAAATATGACGGGAGATATCCTGGCTCAAAACCTCACCTTGTACAGCAAGCTGCCCACCACCGTCTTCTTCCCCGCGCCACTTCGACCACGGACGGCCATCGTCTTGTCTGCCATGGTGACGACTCTATGAGTATCAAGGGCCTGGAAAGGCTGCAGAGAAGGATCCTCGCAAAAACTCGACGCGCTCGATTTCGGAATACAATTGTGCAGCAACGGGAGCGAGTTACAGAGCGGGGTTAGAGTGGGGTTGAAGTTCATGCCCCAGTCCACCAACCTTTCCTTTCCACGGCAGGCGACTTGTCTCTTAACCTCCCCCCTTACCAAATCGAACCATAACGATCTCCTCCTCATCCGAAGTTGGGGTACCTCATCACTGCCTTCATACCTTCTATGACTGGCAGACCGTAGATCGGAAGGCCCGGAACTTTGGCTTGGAGCGCGACTACACGACGGAGCGGGAACTCCGAAGAGTGCATACACGGCAACCATGTGCCTGACCGTACGTGTTGAGCGGCCTAGGCTAGCGGTGGCCGGCTGGCTGGAACATAAACATCCCCGGGGCGTGCGCCAGATGCCTGGTTATCAAAAATCAGGGTTGCTCATCTCTCAAACCCTCTATGTATTGCGACGCGATATAATATGTGTCAACCCGTCAACCACCTCTCTTGCCGAGACACGTTGATCGGAGGGTACAAGCATGTATGTATCGATAAATGTAGGGATGGGCCCCGCCCAAATATCCGCCGAGCCGGTTCTCTTTCGCAGATCGCGGTGGCACTCAGCGACTTCCGGGGGGCATTCGGGTTCCGTCATGGAAGATGTCGGCCGTGAACCCGGTGTGGCGCTTTGCGGCCGCGGTTCGCAGATTGGAATATTCGGAGAGCCCTTGGGAACCGCGGATGACAAAGGTCGGCGCAACGGAGAGCACACAACCTAGAGACCAGACATCGCAGGCCTGGGTAACGGGTAATGACATGCTCTATATATCCCCCAGTTCGGGACACACTGTTTAACCGTCAGCCTTTCGTCAACCGCATATCCGCGTGGAACTGCTTGTACCATATGTCATCGTTCTTCCTCCAAATGCCACTCGATGGGAGCCGGTCAGTTCAGCTGCCCGCAGCATGATGGATTCTCCCGGATCAGCAAGTTTAAAAAATCCATGTACCGATACAATATTCTCTGGTTTGACATCGCCATGCCACCTATACCTGTCAGCCGAGGGAGGAACTGGCCCTGTGATAAAGAGAATGTCGAAAACCAACCCTAGATATGATACGCCATCCTTTTCGGCATTGTGAAACGCCACTAACGCGCTGGATACCAACAATATTAATTCCCAGAAGCTCAGAATCCCGGCTGGCGTCTCAGGGGGCTGGTGCGTGTGTAGTGCTGTGTAGAGGTCGTACTGCCCAAGTTCTAGCAGAATGTTCCAAGTCTTAGTGGGCCGTCCATCCGTGAGGGTGCTGGGGGCGTCGAATATCCCGATGTATCGCACAAATCCTTTAGAATTTCCGATAATGCCCAGAATCCGGGCCTCCTCCTGCCTGAATTACTCGTAGCCTTGTGCGGGAAACTGCTTGAGCGCAAATTCAAAAGCCTAAGAGTCACGTTAACATGAGCGCTCGAGGACGAGATGAGGGAAATTCACGTACCGGCTCGGTCCCACCGAAAGGTGACGGACGGGAGCATTACTCTAGCGTGGGGTAGTTGCCTCCGAACGGTTTCGCAAACAAATTGCTCCGGAAGCTGTACTTTCCATAGCGTGGGTCTGTCAGGGTCTGGGCGGTGCACATTCTCGCGAAAGGGGTTGATCCTTTCCATTAGATAGAGGGGGAGTATTTCATCCTTAGAAAGCGATCTCTTGAACCCGAAATCCAGGAAGGGGGGTGACCACCGGTATTGCTCCTCATAAAATCTCGCCGAGTGGATGGCTACCTTCTCTCACCCGCCTTTCCAAAGCACTGTTTGAGTGCGTCTTTTGAAACAGGGAGGTTGCCGTCGACGATGCCGCCGTCGCAGCAAAGAGGAAGGAGGTTGGGCGCACCGAGCTGGAGAAGAATGCAAAAGACGCGGTAGAAATGACGCTTAGACAATATCTTTATTTGATCAGCGGCGATTGGCGTGGAGTACAGGAGGGCATCAAGGTTGGTGCGATCGGGGCAAATGATTGATTGAGCCTCAAGGTATGCCACGACATTGTTGGTCAAATAAACGAACGGCCGTCAGCCGCGGTTCTGGTAAATCCGCGTACTTCTGTGTCGAACTGTTGTTTTGAGCGCTGGAATATGGCCTCGCCTTGAGCTGGATCCATTGGCAATTGCTAAAGACTTGCCAAAGATATCGCTTTTTAGTTTTTTGCTAGTCAGCCCGAATTCGTGCACGGGGTTGAGTTTGGCAAGCTTGCGGTAGTGCCTACATAAATAGTTCCCAACCCAAGACGGTGGTTCTCCTCCGCAATCAGCCTGGCCACGCCCTCCCAGCCGCCGCGGCAGGCATGTGAGTACGCTCTGGTGAAACAAGTCCTAACAGCCTCACTGGTGAGTGGCGGCGGTGGTGGTGATGACGGTGACGGTGACGGTGGTAATGATGTGAGGTGGTGCAGCAGGGTCCGAACGGCTCCCACGTGTCCACGGGACGAGGCGACATTGAGCGGTGTGCCGAAAGCGCCACACGGGCTGGAGAGAGACGTGATGAGGAGGTTTGGTGCGTGGGAGAGAAGGATGTCGATGAGCTTGCTGTGGCCGTGGGCGGATGCCAGGTAAAGTGGGGTGTGACGGTCTGGGCTAGAGTTGGACTCGGAGAGGGTGAGGGCGGGGGATGGGTGTGTGGCGAAGAAATGGGAGAGGATTGTTGATATCCCAAAGACGCAGGCTGTGTGGATTGTGGAGAAGGATGCGTTGAGAATGAGCTCGAACCGGTATTTGAGGGGGTGGTAGAGCGGGAGGAAGGCGGCGGTTTCTCGGCTCCATTCGTGCCAAACGATGAAGGCGGGGCTGGGTTCATGAGTGTTTTCTGCAGAGATGAACCGAATTGCTTCTGGGGAGACAAGGCCAGGCTGGGTGTCTCTGCCTGCTTCGGAGTTGCGGAGATGCTCGAGCCAGTGGACAGCCGCGTAGTGGTAGAAGTCTTGGATGGGAGACGGTTCTCGGATAGAGGGCGAGAGGCTCGGACCCACGGTGCACTGGCGGAGGCAAGCTGTTGCCAACAGATGGTGCGCTGCGGCTGGGGAGAACATGTCTTGCTGTTGCATCAAGTCTCGGACAGATGAATGACAGAACGAAAGGGCGTTTGTGTCCGGGTCTAGCATGACAAGATTGTGGCAAATGTCGACTATGTTGAGCTGGTCAGATTCTGAAATCTGGATATCGGGGTCGAGTCTGAGAATCGAGAAGAGCGCCGCGGGCTGGAGGGTGCGGCTGGCGAAGAGAAGCCACGAGATGACCTGCCGCCCGACTCGTTTAGCGACAGGGTCTAGGGTAAGGAGAACCTGGAGAGAATGTTGATAAATTTGCTCAAGATCGCCCACTAATTAAGCCGTTATCCAAGGCCGTGAGGACGTCTGCTTCTGTTTTCTTTCGGCAGAGGAAGTCGACCTGTAGCTTGACCCAAAGAAACCTGAGAGCCCGGATTAGTAAGTACTATATGACAACACAATACCGAGTAATTGCTTACATCTCACCAGATCCCTCCATCAGTGCTTCTGAGATCCTCTTCAACAACGCGACGGATGCCGTCCCATTCAGGAGGCAGCGTGTTTGCACGACTTCAATTTCTTTACTTCTGCCCGAACAAAAGCTTCCACATCCCTGCGGCTCGTCGCTGGAGTAATTCGTATCTTGGATTCCGAGTTCAAAAGAGCTTGAAGTTGAGTGTTGTTACGACTGATGAGGAACACTTTGACCACGTTAGCAGACTGAGAGACGATGCGTTGGAGGGCTTCCACAAAAGAAACACGATCAGCGTCTGACAGCTCGTCGATGGCGTCAATGCAGATATAAGCGGGATTCGCTGAAGTCAGATCCAGTATCAACCGGATGCATTCATCCCTGGTCGGTTTGCTTGGTTCGTCCCTTGTTCTCCGGACCACTTTGGCTTCCCATTCATAAGCTGATACCACCACTTGGTTAACCGCACCGTCCACAGGGTTTATGGCCAGCTGCCTAATTATGGCCCTGAGAATGCAGCTTGGAGAAGCTCGATCGAGCTCGGAGGGTAAACTTTGGCAGTAAAAGTACCCGCAGGGTGGTGTGGTTGTCCTCATACGTCCATGGGATTGCGGGAGGAGGTGGTCCACAACGGCGGAGAAGGCCGTGAATTTACCGCATCCTCGAACCCCGTGCATCAGCAAAATGGACGAGGGGCTCGAAGCCAACCAGTCTTTGAACTCGGGGTGGTCTATCAGCCACGATGCAGAGCCCGGTAGCCGCCTACCCGAGACTTCCTTGTGGTGGCCAGCAACCGGAACCATGGATAACCACCCGAGGAGGCTTTGGAGTTCATCCTCCTTCAAGGTCTTTTGTGTGGTTGCAGATGTATCTATTAGTCGAATGAGCTTTGCATCCAAACCGGTCAAGCTGTTAGTGAGAGCCTTCATCTTGGTATCAACCTCATGCAGGACTTTAGTATCAACCAAGGCAATCATTCTCAAGACTTCTTCTTCTCGACGATCCAGGACCTTGAGGTCACTGTCGGTTATTGGCAGCTTTCCAGCGCTGAGGAGGGTACGGGCTGTGTCCCGGTGTAAGCGGTATGATCCGTAATGTCACTGCAGCCCAGAGGTGATCTTACCTGTGGTAGAACGTCCAAAGTACTTGACACACTTGGCTAGCAACGCTAAAGCGTCGGAGAATAACAGAACCAATGCATCCTCCCAAGACCAGAGGTTGTGGCAGTTGTTGATAAGTGGGACCGCGGATGTACACCTCGTCGATGAGTTTGCTCCAAGCCATAATCCGCGCCACTCTTTCCAAGACGGCTACCGTGAGGCCAAATGCTTGAACATCGCCAGTGGCCACACGCAGCAGGAATCGAAAAGCCGCCCATGGTAATGCCGCATGGACCTGGTCATACTGAGACGCGACATCCCCAACGCTCTTGTATCTGTCAATCCAGCCCACGACCCTCTCAATCACGTCCCGAACCACAATGATCTTCCCGTTCGGGGCCGTAAATCTCCACTGCTTGCGAATACAGAGCTGGCGTCTGGCTTCGGCGGCTCTGAGGACGGCACTGACAATGTCAACTTTGCGCGTGCCCACCGCGATGAGGGCTGTTTTGAGATCGGGGTCAAGGCGATCAAGTGCCATTTGCCAGGATTTGTCGCTGCTGTCTGGGGTTGTTGCTGTTGCATTGCTAAGCGCCATTGTCAGAAAACCACGGGCGAGTGCTTTTCTCTTTCTTTCGTGTTGGTAGGAACGGGTAGAAACCGGTGAGAGGGGGTTGAAACCACCCGGAAGCGAGCCGCCCCGAGGTTTGCCATATACCCACTCGTCTATCGCACCAAAAAGCAGAAGAATTTCGAGGACAACCCGCTTTCCATATACAAGGCTTTGGTGCCAAGACAAATGATGCCTCTCAGCCACAAAGTTGGGTGTCAACTCAATCTCGAGGTGGTTACACATGCGAGTGAATGCCGTCGATCGGGATATGCTTAAAGGGTGCTCCCTCACAGTTTATGTGTGATTGGGTCGCCCACCCGGTAGTTAAACCCTGTCATCTCACCCACGGAACCAGGCGGAGTCCCCGTCTGAACAGCCACACCGGTGACGGGCCGCACCCTTCACGCGGGCCCGGGAGGGGATGTAATACCATTAATCTGGGTCGATCGAGCCGTAAATGGACCAGAAGCCGCTTAGCGGTGGGTCAAGCAAAGAACGACCTCAAAGAATAGGAAACGTGAGCATCGAGCAGATATGGTTCCTCAAGTCCGAGTTGGAACGCCACCTGTATTATCAACCCAAGCGCCCCCAACCAACCACCCAACCAACCAAACTATGGTATATCAATGAAGCAAACGCACATATCCCAATCTCAAAGGAAAGACCAAGCAAATGAAGCCAAAATCCGCTCACACCGCGTCCTGGTCGCGTCTGCAGGATGCTGCCCATCATCCCACACAATCTAATCCCAAACAGCAAGCACAATCCTCTCACAACACCGCAAACCCCGCCTCCCCTTTACACCGAGATGCCACAGTTAGGGCAGTAAGGCGTCGTAACGCCCGCACCACATTGGCCACAGTATTTCGTGGCGCCCATGGGCTGCTCCTTGGAGTGGGTCGGGGCCGGGGAGCGAGCGGGCTGGTAGGGGGGCGCGTTCTGGAAGCCGCCGTGGTTCTGGTAGGCGGCGGGCATGGGTGCGGCGGAGGGGGCGACGGGGGCGGCGCCGGCGTAGGTGAGGGGCTGGTAGGTGTACGAGACCGAGGTGGACGTGCGCGAGCTGCGCTTGACGCACCACACGATGAAGAGGATCCAGGCGACGAACTTGGTGATGCCGCCGAGGGCAAAGCAGGCCACCGCGCCGTACCACATGCCGTTGGAGAGGCAGCTGGAGTCGTAGTCGTAGTAGCTGTAGCTGCTGCTGGCGCACGAGGCGGTCCACCCGCCGATGAGGCCGCCGCCGATGATGAAGAAGAGGATGGCGGCGATGAAGAAGGAGATGGGCCACCACTTGGAGAAGCGGCTCTTGGGTGGCATCGCGACGGTGGTGGTGGTCGGAGGCGGGTAGGGGTAGGCCATGTTTTGGCCGTGGTTCATTTCGTAGGACATTTTGTCGTTGGTTATGTGCCTGGTGGAAAAGAAAGAAGTTTGGATGCGGGTTCGGCTGGAAGAATGGCAAGGAACTTGAACCGGAAGTGAATGGACGACAAAGTGAAGTGTCGGGTTTTCGTTGGGTCGAAAAGGGAAAAAGCCTGGGCAAGAACGACAGGACACAAACCAAGAATGGAAAGGAACACTTTCGGTGTTGAGGGGTGAGGATGTGATAGAAACTTTAAATTCTCGCGCCTGCCCAAAGCACCGTCACTGCACAGCCCCCACTCCAACTTCGAATCTCTGGATCATCGTGGGATTCCCCAGAATAAGCTTAGATGCGCCTGTCTAAGGTTTGCACTGCGAAGATTTGTGACTGCTGGCTTACTTTTTTCGTCCTTAACTTTCCTCCGAGACACCCACATGGGCTGTCGTCTGGTGGGCTGATTGGTTGCACAGCCCGATGCCAATTTTACTGTGCCTGCCTTGGCCTGCTCGGGCATGGATGTGCAAGTCACAACCTCTCAGCCGCAGCCACACCTTGCATAGAGTTGCTAGGATCCCTGGTTCTGGAACAGTCGCATATTAGGCAAACCGCTGTCACGGAACTTGTGTCGCAATCTCGATATGCGCTTCAAGGCGGCGAAGGCCGTTGCAGGGCTGACCCGAGTCAGGGTGCGCGGTGAAGGCGAAAGTTGCTCCTTTTTCACACAGTATTTCTCTGCCACCGTCGACCGAACCACCTCACGCCTTCGAGTGCGCGCCGAGGAGTTTGACTGGTGCGGTGCACAGGCTTTCCTCACCCGGTAAGAATACTGGGACGAAGGAGACATTGACTCTGTCCACAGTATGAACGAAGTCAGTGTGTGGCTCGTCAGATGGCGGTCCGTTACGGCTCGAAACTGCCTGTCACTTAGCGCTCCTGGTTTATTTTTGTAACGGGCCGCCATCCGAGGATCGGCCGTTCAAGGTTGGGGACTTGGCAGCAAAACCCATCGGGCGAAAACACACTAACTGGAAATGGACAAGGGATACATGTGGCAAGACGGCAAGGGGACGTCGGTCCTAAGACAACCATCTTGCGACGTCTATCTTAGCCGCCAATACATAGGTAGCTAGGCGTTGTCCTTTTCTCCATTGCTCCTCAAACTACACCGGAGATTGCCGCCGTTTCTTGACGCACTGCCCGGCCCGTCGCTTAGAGGACGAGAAAACAGACGCCCACGCATCACAAAAAGGGATTCAACCGAATAACTATGGGTTTGTTAACTACAGTTGTTTGTTCGTGTTACCTGCATGAGCCACATGTAAGCCAGAAAGTTGTATCTTGCTAACCGTCGAGGACGCTACTATCCAAGTGGACAACAGTGGCAGCTTGCTTTGCATGGAACGGAATAAACTCAGCCAACACTTATTCTGCCCGACTGGGGTTCTTTACTACGTCTGCCGCACGCGGAACGGCCCATGCCTATCCGTTGACTATTACACTGCCTCAATGATTTCGTAGGGCACCAACGAGGGTCAGGTTACTCGTCACGGGTGCTCGGCGCCGACTGGGCTTTCACAGACATCGAGCGACAAGCCATCACCGTCTATAACAGTCATGCCAATCACACCCGCCGGCGAGGATTCCTCAGAGACGGCCACTCGAACCGCTTGCTCGGGTCCTCCCGATATGTCCAATGGTATACGGAGATACCTCGTTCGGTATGCAATTCGCAACTGGCAAACCTCCTCTAGTATTTGGAATTTGATTGTCATGAACTTCCGCATCGCAATGATCTGGTTGGGCCGGATAGCGAGCCGTTGCATTTTATGCGCAGCACCTCGCACAACCGGACGGGTCAAGATCAAGGGACGCGGAGGACTGGCACTATAGGCGGTGATATAAACCGTATACGACAACAACTCCGACCAGTAACCAAGACTTACGGGACAACAAATCAGGGAGCAGAGGGGAAGTGACTGTTTCTGGTTGACTATCACGGGACATGCTTTCTGCTTGCGTTACGCCAAGCTTATAAGTGGCCATATACAACTTTGCAGAACATGAGCGTAGCACTCGCTACTGTCCAAGGCAGAGCACGCGCGCCAATGTCAGGAAGAGCATGCGTATGTAATCATTACAAAGTAGATGCACGATGAACATCACCTCGGGTTCATTGCCAGAGCAAAAGCATGTGGATGGAATCATAACAAAATACCAAAGTTGATGGACTATGATATAAGTGTCTAATGTCTCTTACTTTACCCTCACCAGGGCGCTCATCTTTTAGTTTTATTTCAACCCTTGCACCTGGCCCGCACTTCCTTTATCTGTCGACCGCAAATACCTGTCAAGTCACTATGAAGCCGTATTTCACCGCTCTTCTTGCGCTTCCCGCGGCACTGGCTGTCCCTGTGGCAAAGTAGAGGCCCACTCCATGTTCCGTTTTACATTTCACAGGACAAGTCTGACGGTTGAACGCAACAGCGCCAAGGGTGACTTCCCTACCACCTTTCCATTCCAGGCCCAGGCATGCCATTGCGACGACGGCAACGGCCATATCACCGAAGCATCGTGCCTGTACTTTGGTTCGGTTAAGCAGCCCGGCCAATGGGTACGTCTTCTCCATCCCTTCCACATTCACTCCTTTGACATGGGATCTGCGTGAACGCTGCCAGAGTTTGTACTAATCAGGCCCATCTCTCCATAGTGCTACCCTTTTGCATCGTACAGTCCCCGCATGGAAACGGTCTTCACCGATGCGTATTGTGCACAAGCCACGGGTGGAAACCTCTCGAAAGCGGTGTGCAAGTCCATCACCATCTGCAAGGATCCTCTCATTCCGGAAACCGAAATCGGTACCTTTTACGTACTTTGCTGAGCGTCTTTGAAGATGGGGTGGCAGGCGGCTTGAGTGGGGACTGGGATGGAACATCGGCGCGAAGTCGAGAACTGTCCAGGCAGTTTGAGGCCAGGACGCTAGTAGTAACCGGGGTTTTGTCAACAACTCCAAACTTCAATTCATGGATGCAGTGCGCTGTGCTGTTGATGTTATTCCCGAAAACCGTGGAGCTGAAGAAAAGTACCTGAGATGAAGCGTCCGGGTCCATTGCCGCGTTTTTGACGTCAAATGCAGATATCCATCTCCAACATTCGACATCACTTATCTCCGAAATTCCCAAGTCTACGGATGTATTGGGGACTGTGCTCCTCGTTCCGGGGTTTTGATGTTGGCGATCCTCTGCTGCATCCAGTCATTGGAAACGATGACGAGGGCCAGTTCTCTCCAGCCCAGCTGAAAAGCTTGAATTGTGGGTCATCTCTCTTTTTTGGAAGCCAGCGAGGAAAGACGTCTTTGTCCAACTCATCCTGTCCGGAGGACAATATTGCGCTCAAACTTTTAACTATCGGTTTCCCAAAGAGCTGGCGCGCTAATACACCGCCAAGTTGATGACGGGAACTTAACCGACCGGATGCTGGTTAACTAAAGCCCCGTCGAGTTTGAGACGTCGGAGACGTCTGAGACACCGCGATTGACGCGCTTCGGGGACTGGCGCCGAAAAAGCAAGGGAAATGATCGACGTCATCGCCAACTTTTCACCAATTCAGTGACCCAAATCCTAGACACGCTTCTGCTCGTGCCACGATAATTTAGCGAGTTTTCTCAGCTGGGCAGTTGCGCGCCACAATGAAGGCCACCGTTGTTGTTACTGCCGTGGCACGCCTGGTTAAACGATGGCCAGACCAAAATAAACTCCGACCTTCAACACAGAAGTTGTGCCTGTGCGGTCAACAACAACGGCAGTCGTTGACCATCCAGTGCGCTTGATATTCCGGCTTCCACTTCATTAAAAAATGGCGACGATCTCAGAACCAGAGAATTTGCTTTTGGGCATATCGCTGCCCCCAGGAGATCCGCATGTGAGCACCCACATTTCGGCCGCCACGAAGTCGTCCAGTTCCCTAACTAAGCCCAGGGCGTCAGTGTGCATTTGCCGAAATGGGCCGACACGGTCGGTTGGGCCGCTCGCGAGCCCCGGGTGTTGGAGGCGATGAAGACGGGATACCCGCGTTTCTTCGTCCCGCGCGTGGTGCATCAGCTGGCGATGCGCCTTCTCGCCAGACAGCAGTCGGACACGGCCTTTGCGGACGACCTCGGAATACACGGGGAGGGCGAAGAGAGATTGGCGACCTTGCTAAACGCTGCCCGACATGGCCGGGTGTGCCGCGAGACACTTCTAGAATGGAGCAAAGCAAAGAAGACAGAGGCGAATTCACCGTACATTGGAGTTTACGCTGTGGCATGGGGTGGCAAAGTATCGCCAGTACAACAGGAGGCCACGCCCGACAAATCCCGGACCACTTCTCAACCTGAAATTGGCGAAGAAGATATCATCCTCGTCACTTACCCGGCTGAGTTGGCCCCAGAAGTCAAGTCCTTCTGGCAGCACACTGGCTATGGCATCTCCAGCCGGCGAGCCACGTACTGGCTGGAGCATGCGCCGTTCCTTGCCGACCCGGCGTCATCGAAACCATCCCTCTCATCAGCCGAAAGATCTCTCAGTGTTATCCAGGCTGGCGCGGCATTGAAGGACCAAATCGCCGCCGGGCAATCATCACCCACCCACAACCTCCACGTCGCTCCCTCCGACGTCTTCCTCTTCTCGTCCGGCATGACCGCCATCACCGAGCTAGCCACCGCGATCAAGTCCCTCCGGCCACCCACCCCTGGCTCCCCATACCGCGTGGCAGTATTCGGGTGAGTCTGCCCCCCCCCACCTCCACCTCCTCCCCTTTACCATCACCAAACCCACTAACCCCCCGGCCCCCAGCTTCCTCTACGTCGACACCTTCAAAGTCCTCTCCCGCGTCCTCCGGTTTCACCCCCACAACTCTACCCACTACACGCCCACCTCCCTCACCGCCCTAACCACTCTGCTCACCCACACCCGCCTGGACGCGGTCTTCACCGAATTCCCCGGCAACCCGCTCCTCCAGACCCCCGACCTGACCGCCCTCGCCCAGCTCGCGCGCCAGCACGACTTCGCGCTCGTGGTCGACGACACGGTCGGCACGCACGCGTCGGTGCGCACGCTGCGCGCCGCGGACGTGGTGTGTTCGAGCCTGACGAAGATTTTTAGTGGGGCGTGTAATGTGATGGGGGGCGTGGTGGTGCTGAATCCGGGGTCGGCGTTTTATGGCCGGTTGAGGAGGGTGTTGGAAAGGGGGAGGGGGGAGGCGGAGGGGGCGTGGTTTGGGGAGGATGTGGTGGTGATGGAGGGGAATGGGAGGGATTTTGGGTTGAGGGTGGAGAGGGTTGGAAGGAATGCCGAGGTGGTGGTGGCTGTGTTGAGGGGGAGTGCGGTCGTGAGGGAGGTGTATTACCCGCTGGGGGGGCCGACGCAGGAGTTGTATGATCGGTTTCGAGTGGAGGGGGGGAGGTATGGGTTTTTGGTGTCGATAAGGTTTCGGGAGAAGGCGCAGGCCGTGGCGTTCTATGATGCGTTGGATGTGGCGAAGGGGCCGAGTTTGGGGACGAATTTCACGTTGTGCTGCGCGTACACGCTGTTGGCGCACTACAATGAATTGGAGTGGGCGGCGGAGTATGGGGTGGTGGAGGATTTGGTGAGGATTAGCGTGGGCTTGGAGGACAGAGCGTGGTTGGAGGAGAGGGTCGAGGGAGTGGTGGTTGCTGAAGGTAAGAGTGTTAAGCTCTGAGTTGCCGAGGCTTGAGCGAGAGGTGCAGAACAAATATCGATGAATTACACGATCACCCGTCCAAACTTGATTGATCTCTACCTTATTCTTTTTCTGATGCATAACTTGGGTGAGGAAGGTGCGACGCTGGAAGGCTTGCGCCACCCGACCCTGCGTGGTTGGCCGAGGTCTGTCTCTCAACCAACAGCATCAAGGACTTCATCCAAGACCCCCAACATTAAACAAAACATTCCCTCGCAGAAGCGGAGGGCATACCGAACCGTGGCGTACAGGTACCTTCACATGCCATACATGATACCGCAGGTATGCCAAGATCACTTGCTATCAACTGCCGTTACGAGACTACCTAATCAAGGCCAGCTCGAATCTCCTCCCCTTCCTGAGTACCTAGGCTCAGTGCCTAGCACGGGACCCTCGCACGGGGCGCCCGCACGGGCTTCAGGGTATATGTGTTACTTCCAACACTACAGTTTTCAACGATGTCCACCCACTCGAAAGTGGCCAAGTGGTCCCGGGGGAGCCTCACCCCCCCTCCCACCGGGGAAGTCGTGGGTTCGAGACTTGGCGCTGCCCGGGGGTTTCGTAGCCGGCCACCTCCTCTCCTTAGCGAAGACTAAGATTGGAGGTGACCGATGAGCTTTTGCCATTTTGGGTGAGCTTTTGCCATTTGCTATTTTTTAACGACGCACAGGCCGCCACCTTTTTCATTTTCCATCCCATGTCAACCATCCCCCACGCAGGTTCTCCCGCTCCCGCCCGCAGTCCCAACTCGGGCCCTTCGGCACTACATATACAAGTTCCATGTGCCTAGTTGCCACCCACCCCCCAAGTACCACTACGGCTGCCGCAGCGGTTTCAACTTGGGGAGTTGCGAGGTACATCACGGGTTCGAGCCCTGCAGGTGCGCTCCCCACGAAGCAAAATCCCCCGGGGTTTTCGTAGCCGCCTACCCCTCAGTTGCGTGGTAACTAGGGTTAGACGGTGAGCCTTTTATACTTTTTTCTTCATCGCAGTCAAACTATTTTCTAATGAAATTATTGGAAACACGAGGTGCTCGACCTTGGGTGAGTAACAACGCGAGTTCGCCTGCCCTGATGATCGCCGATTACCGCGTGAACGTTAGCCTCTCTTTCGAGCACTTCTCCCTCGAAATCGCCCCGTTCAAAGCCTTTGGCCACTCGTCATCCTAAATCACCACACTTATAGCTGTATACGCAAAGTATTCCGGCAAGAACCCATTGACATCCCTACCAATACGCCCCATCACTGCCCTCCCTGCCTAGTTCACCTCTCCGCCACAACATTATTTCACGTCAGATCCGCATGTATCCGCACAAATCCACCCCTTTCTCCCCTAGCCTTACTTATCCACCCTCTCAGGGCCGCCTGCCACACCACGCACCGTGGCCAGCCCCGCTAACCCCGCCGTATCGCAACGCCGAGATTGGCGGTAGAGTTACCCGTTACGCAAAAGAGGTCTGCCTGTTCTCTTTTGTCTACTGTCGCAACGCTTCCATTTTCCAAGGCCATCCGTACTGATTGCAGACAGTCGATGCGTAGACCGTGGCGGGACCGCGATGGGCTCAGGGTATTCGTCCAGATCGAGAATGCTGCGACGCTGACCCTGAAGTCGCTTATCAGAGAGTGCTGAGAAGGTGGAATAGCCTTTCATTGATCTACGTTCATTTACAAAATAGCCGGTTGAGTTATTGGTGACTTTACTACCTGGCTGAGATTTGCCGAGACTCAAGTTTGCGGAGCCGATTGGAACATCCCTATAACATAAAACATCTAATCGGCGGCATACCGACAATCCCCAAGCCGGTAGTTCATTCGGCAGTGGGTATCTTGACTGTAAAAACCGGCCAGCATGCATGCTATTAAAACCCAAATGCCAACATCACGCCCTCATTCACCCTCTTCCAACCATACTTCCCAACCCAACTCAACATATCCTCCAACCCGATTAACTCGTCCATCTTCGGAAAACATGCTGCTCCCCAGCGTCTCCTCTTCCTTCCGGGTCTTGAACCTCCTAGCACTCCTCCTCGTGCCCCTGTCACAACCCGTCAACGCTCTTCCCACGCCTCAAGCGGACAAGGAATGCTCAACAGACCCTTGCGCCGTGGTCAAAGATTGGCCAATGACACCATACTGTTACGAAGGTCAGCTGTACTGCACTGCAGCGGGCTATGTCACAGCGCTCATAGGCTCTTGCGATCTGTGGTGTCAACCTGAGCCGGGGACAGGCAATTCGGGGGAATGCCCGTAGGAGGATGGTACTTTGGGGGCGGGGGGGGGGGAAGGTTGGTTGAGGAAGGATTGGTTCAAGCTAGGATGAGAGGGATGAAATGGGACTGGTGATTGAGAAATCCCATTCCCCGGAGAAAGTCAGATGGGAACCTGCAGCAAGGGATGGTTGTTGTCCCGGTGTATCTTAACATGCTCAAACTCGGTCGCCGCATGTCACTGCGCAATCGGATAATATACCGGACCCGGAAGTTCTGGCTTGATCAGTTGGTTTGCCGTCTGAAAGGGTTGATTATGTGCCAGCAACTCGGCGGAAGCAGCTTCTGGGCCAGCATCCACAGGGCACCAGAGGACTCATGCCGATGTATTCCCATCCGACACGGCCCCGCTTCTTCCCGAACACGGCCCCACTCCTGGATCCGGATACGGCCCCGCCTTCGGTGTCATGTCCCCATCGCCGCCGGCTGCGTTGGCAAGCTGAGATAGAAATGTGTCCAGGGAACGAGCAACATCATTTCCACAGTGAAACAAAAAAAAGAAAAAGAGAATTAAGTCTGCTTCGATGTCACCAGAGAGGGTAAAGCCTCCTAAAGCATCAGTAGTCCCGCTCTGACAAGACCCTCCAAATAAATCGGGCCATGACAGACGTCTTGTCCTGGTGCAAAGGATGGGCTGGCACCCTTTGTCCACTGGAACCCAACTCGCCAAAGAATGGCTTCACATGGCTAACTCCAAAAAGGAGCTCGATGAGGACATGCAACCATGACCAGAAGCAGCACTTGTTACATCAGCACCACTTGATTCCGCAGAAGTAAATTAGTCTGAACCAGCACTGCTTGTACTGGGTGGGTGTATGAATAGTTGTCGAGTAGCTCTTTCGTCCAACTCCACTTGGATTCTGGTGGGGTTACTGAACAACATGTAACCGCTAACGGACAATTGCTCGTAAACATTAACAACAACACTCACTCAATGACAGCACTGGAACAGTTGGTTTATGCAAATCTCTGCCAAACTACGGGCCGCTAGTTACTGCGAGGGAGACAAACCATCATCCCAAACCCTTGGCTGATGCAAGGGAGACAAACCGCCATCCCCACTATCTGCAAGTAAAGTACAGTACAAATCTATCCGTGACGTGACGCGGCGCAACGAAACAGGACGCGACGCTGAGCCGCAGACGAGACGAGACAAGACGGTCCAGTCAGCGAAAAAAGCTAGCACGCGTGGCGAGTCTATGCCCTCCCCCCATCAACTTGCGACAGGCCAAGCAGGCCAGGCAGGCCGAGCCCCCCGTGTATCCGGCTCTCGACACCTTTGTTGCCTCGCCCCCCATATCCCCCCCTCATGCATGCAAAGTGAAGTCATCGCTGAAAACCAAGACGCTGCCCCCCAACCCCGAACACCCATAGGCGACGAAAGAAAAGCCCGCCATCGCCTAACTCTCGCTCTCCACCCCGGGTCCGTCCCCGCTACTCACAGGGGACCGGGGATGTGGTCCTCCACGGCGCTCAGCGCGGCCAGGTTGACCTCGCCCATGCTCAGCACGCCACCGCTGGTCGATCCCGTGCCACTCCCCCCGACCCCAGCAAGGAGCGCCACGCACTCGATGACGTCCTCAGGTTCGAGTAAGTGCCAGCGGGCGAGCGTGACCTTGGTGCTCGCGCCCACCGTGACGGTGAAGCAGTCGTCCTCTTCGATGTCGGCTTCGGCCTGCCCGTCGCCGGGCTGCGACAGGCCGTTCAGCGCGCGGAACATGTCCTCGTCCGTGAAGTCGTCGCCTAGGCACAGGACGAAGTCGATCTTATTCGGAAGTGCGTCCTCGCCGGTCGAGCCATTGCCAGCCGCGGCGGCAGCGGCGCGCAGCTCGGCGTTGTATGTGTTGACGAGCCTCTTGGCGATCTCGCCCTTGTTGATAAAGGTGGGGCGGACCTCGAGGTTGGCCTTGCCTGCCATGACCTCGACGTCCCACTTGCGCCCGACTGTGTTCTCGAGCTCTTGGTGGCATTCGCGCGACATGTGAAGACCCTGATCGGGGTCGGCGAGGCGGTAGTGCCAGGTCAGGGCACACCGCTTCCGCTCGATGAAGGAGCCTAGGTTATGTGTTAGCATCACGAACCACAACGAGGGAAAAAAAAGCAACCACGTACCCTGCACCCTATCGGTGTACGTTTGGAACACCTCGAGAACCTCCTTCTGCCAGCCCATGTCGAATTTCTCGGCAAGATTCTCCCACTCGGTCGCGCCAGGGTGCTTCATGAAGCTGCCATGCTCGGCGCTGAAGCCGAGCTCAGTGATGTGGCCGAGGTGCTGAGTCAAAAAGTCTTGGTCCCGACCAGAGATGATCCAGACGGCGTTCCGAGGATCCGAAGCAAGCGCTTTCAAGCTGTTGATAACGCGTTCCGAGGGGATGGCGGCGCTGGGCTCCCGGACGATGGGGGTTAGGGTACCGTCGTAGTCGAACATGAAGAGGCGCTTTTTGGCAGCGCGGTACTTGCGGAGCATGGCTGACCGGTCAAGAAGGGGTGTGGCCGTCACGTTCTTCCGGCTGCCGAGGACAGTAACCAGGCGGCGCAGGAAGCCGGCGATCCAGTATTGCACATTCTTGCTCGTGACGTGGGACAGGAGGCTCTGCTCCATGGCTTGGCGTCTGGTATGAGGCATGGTTAACGCTTGGTTGATCTGCTCAGCGACCTCGGTGAGATTCCACGGGTTGATGTGGATGGCGTCTTTGAGAGAACCGGCGGTGCCGCTAAACTCGGAGAGAATCAGTGGTCCAGCTGACTGGCGCTGGCAGATGACGTATTCCAGTGACGTAGTATTCATCCCATCCCTCACCGAGGTGATGAGGCCGATATCAGCAGCCCGCAACAGGGCAAAGTATTCATCCTGGCTGATGTACTGGGGGTAGTGCAAGACAGGTGAGAAGCCAATCGAGCCGTAGGCGCCATTAATCTTCATGACTAGCTCGTTGACGCGCGTCGAAATCTTATTTTCGGCGTCTTCTTTCTCCTCCTCAATGTTAGTGGGAGAAGTGACCTGGATCAACACCACCTTATCGCGCCACTCAGGGAACATCTCAAGGAAGCGCTCGAAAGCCATGAGCTTCTGCGCGACTCCACGAACGCTGTCCAGGCGATCGCGGCCCACAATGAGTTTCTTACCGGCGTACATGCTCTTGAGAGCCCTGTACTTCTCGGTGACCGAGTCTGTCCACGCGAGGCTAGCGACCTTAGTAGCGTCGATGCCGATCGGGAAGACGCCAACTTCGACGCGCGAGCCGTAGGCATCCACCCCCGAGCTGTCCGACGGAAAGCCCAGGATGCGCGTGCAGCAGCTGGCAAAGTGGCGGGAGTAGCTGTAGCTCTGGAAGCCGACCAGGTTCGCGCCGAGTACACCCTCCAAGACCTCCTTGCGACGCGAGAGGCAACGGAGGAACTCGCTGCTTGGGAAGGGGCAATGCAGGAAAAAGGAGATGTAGATGTGAGGGACGCGCTGTCGCAGCATGCTCGGGAGGAGCATCAGGTTGAAGTCGTGGACAATAACGATGTCGCCGGGCTTGTAGACCTCGAGAATCTTGCTGGCGAACTTCTGGTTCATGCGGAAGTAGTCGGCCCACTGTACGCGCTCGGCGCGCCCATCGGTCGGCTCGTGCTGCTTATAGTGGAAGAGGGTGTAGAGCTCGTGCTCGGCATAGCGCCTCCATCGCGCCTGGTCCTTCAGCCGGATGCCATCGTCGTGTCCCTCCACATCATCCGCCAGCCAGACCGGGACCGTCTTGATATTTTGGTGTGAGAGAGCTGGTTCTCCAGGCGCTGCATATCCTCTTGGGGATCATAGCCGTCGACGGCGGGCGGTGTCGGCGGTCGCTTCTCGGCATCGACAGGGATCGGCTTCGAGAGGACATTCTGGGGTCGAACATGGACTGTCGTGCTGGGTGGGGTGTCCGGCGGGGACAGCTCCGGGGGCTGGTCGATTTCGCCGGTCCAAGCGACAACCGTGTGATTCCATGGCGAGTCGTCGGATGAGAGATACGAAAACGAATCAAACAAGGCCGATTGGCCGCGGCGCGGAGCCAATTCCTGCAGAAAAGCGATGACATCAGCCCCACCATTCCATTCGAGCTTGGCAGATGCGTCTGTGTCATAAGCGCGTTGAGGGGCAATTGCAGCGATAAAATAATGCAAGGAAATAAACAGAAAAATGCACGTACCCAGTCGGCACCCTTGCGGTATTTCAGGGAGTGGGGGATGTTGAACGTAGCCGAGATGATGTTCCCAGTGAGCGCCAGGTCCGGGCTAATAGCTCGAATATCGGACATGGAAACCCGAGATGGGGTGCTAATCTCTGGGCCGGGGACGGTGCCGGGAGCGGTGTTGGTAGGACTGCCCATGACTGCGACGCTCACGCGCCGCATAAAGTCGCTCCCCTCCTTTGCACCGATGTCGATCTTGTTCTGGAAGGATTGGCCTTCGAGGTTTGTGGAATCTGGGCCGGGCGATGCGGCAATGGCATGGTCGACATCATGCCTGGAGAAGTAGCCAGGCTCGGACTTGTGCCCTGCTTCACCAATGTCATCGCCATCTGGCCGGCCGTGGGTCTCTGTAATATCCGGTGTGACGGGCACTTCGATCACGGAAGGAAGAAGGTGCGGCGGAAGAGACTCGGCGCGTTCCGGAACAAATTGTCGCGGGTCATTGGGCTCGGCGGGATCCGCTTTGTGGGCGCTATCGAGTGCGCCTCCGTTCTGATCCATGGTGGCGGTATCAAGTGAGAATTTGTGAGGTTTCGTGAGGATTCGTGGTGGAGGGGGATCAAGAAATTCGCCAACGAGAAAGGGAGAGGAATCGCGAGGTAAATAAAGAAGGGCGACCCAAATGAGCTCACGAACAACGTCAGCGGGGCAGCCAGTAGCGGGGACAAGGGCCGGCCAACTTGGCAGGTTCGAAGAAATGACGGGCGGCAATGGGGCACAAACGGGTCCAGACCTTGCATGCAAGCCAGAACAACAACAAGAGCGGGGGCACTCCTTATCGGCCAGACTTGTCTTGTTTAAGACTGGCCTTGGTCGAGGGGGGGTTTCACGAGTTCTTGCCCAACTCTGGCTGCAGCTCTTGTCGAGTTCTGGGTTTTACTGTTTGCTCCCTTTCTGCCGAGTTGTGCAGAGTTCAATTCCGCCCGACCATTGTGCAACAGCTCGCTGCTTGGGCAGTGCGAAATCGCGGGGCAGTCACGAAGAGTGGGGATGACGATGGCGGGGCACGAAGAACTGCCTAACTGACGCGCTCAAAAACCACACCGCCTGCTTACAGCGGAAGTTGAGAATTACAGCGCTAGCGGGGATCGCTTGCAAGGGCAGGGATTCAAGTTCACCGTTCAGTGTCTGGGCTCTGGTCCTTGTCTGCGGTGCGACTGCAACTGTTGATCACTATTCTCCTTTACCTTGGGTAGACTCGACAATCTCCCTCAAACCCTGACATCTCTAAGGGGTTACAGATTACGAGTTCAAGGAGTTGATAATGCACAAAAGGAATACCACGTCGCGTGTTTTCGGAGCGTTTAAAGTGTCAATGTACGAATATTCGTACCTTCCTGCAGTCGTTGGAAGGTGCTGGAGTGAGTGGGTCCAGCCGCCCAGGCTCGCCAGGCACGGGATGGCGGGCCTGAACAGGGACATCGAAGTTCCAGATCGATCTGATGCATTCTCTCTCCTGCAACATCCTGCCGGTTTTTGCCACTTCCATTATCCAAACATCAACAACAGGCTATCCTGGTTTACAACCATCTCGGTTCCTGGCTGAAACGAGCTCAAACACAGGTAGCCATGCCTTCAAGCATTGCAACCATGAAGTACCTAACCTAGGTACTTGCGCCATTTTCAGTTTTCCGGATTGTCCCTCCTTCGCTTGCTGCCCGCTCCTCGCCTTGCCTCTCACCTCGTTCCCACTCCCGCCGTACCCTCCGCAGTTGAGCCGGCGAATTTGGGCCGCAATTCCCCGGCACCACGCTTCCTGCAGCCATTTGCTGCCGCTGCAGCCTGCACGTAAGAAGTCTTTCACATGGTGAGATCTAGCAACCCGACTGGTTTCCCTGCCACGACGCAACCTCGGGCCGCCCACACAGATGCAATGCTCATTCTGGCACCCTTTTTCCTCATCGGTAGATAAAGGCTTCGAGATGGGCAAGATGTGTGCCAGGAGCCGCAACCTGCCTCGGGCATGGAGGGACGTTGCGCTGTTATCGTAGCATGGTTGCAGCGCTGCTTGCCAAGCCTGGGCGTCCCGTTCGGCGGGTGTGCTGCGCTTAGCCTCCAGCGACTCGGCCGAGACATACGGCGAGTCGTGGTTCAACCGTTGCGGGATTTAAGCCACCCCCTTTTCGCCACTCTCACAAGATGGGTGCTTCGTGTTGATTCTAAGATTGGGATATGTTCAGACCAACATTGAGTCTCATGCAACCCAAGCCATATGCATATTCAGGTTCACCACGCTGCGCCCGTCTTGGCACAGGGGAAAATATCACCAGAGCTGACTGAGTCTTGTATGTTGAGAGTTCATTCACGTAAACCAACCGCGTCTGCTTTGGGAGCTTCCGAGGTTGGGAAGCCGGCCACTACACGTCTCAAGAAGATATAGCCGGATCGTTCGCGGCGATCATGGTTGTGTTTTGGGGCTCGTACCAACTCGGATCACCTCCCTGTGGTGGGTTTATCCACTTAGCTCTGAGCTCTCCTAAGCTTTCATACACTCAACAACGCAGTTGGGGTCGTCTTCCCGGGTGTAAAACCCCACAACCTTCAGCCCTGCCGAGACCGCGATCTCCCTGAACATGGCCTCGTTCCGAAGCTTCCCGCCAAGGTTGAGCATGACGAGGTCCACCAGGCAGTTTTGCGGAGTTGGAACCTCCAGCAGCCTCTCCTCCAAAATGATGACTCTAGCTTTCGAGTTGTCGGCCGGCAGGGCATCTGCAAGACGACGCAAGATGCCCGTGGCGAGCGTATCCGAGTAGTCGAGCAGGACCCTCCGAAGCAGGTACACCAATGCCCCTGAAATCGTCAACTTCCTCCCCCAACATCCGTTCCCAACAGGCACTAGTCCCGGCAGGTAGGATAGGTAAGAAGATACTCACCCTTCACGGGCTGCTCCTCATGAAAATCATGCACCATTCATCACCACCCCCTCCAACCCCTCGCCACCCCTCGCCTCCTCAATAACCTCCCTCCGATCCTGCAAACACGGCACTGCCCCGCCCCCAACCCCTCCACCTCCCTCACCACCTCCCTCACCAACTGCCCCAAACCCACCACCCCACATTCCACCACCACAGGGCACCACCTTCCCCCCCGAAGCCCCATCACCACATTCCACCACCACCCCGCTTCTCAGCTTTAGCCGCCTCCGTTTCCGCTTCCTTCTTCAGCTATGCCAGATCATACAGCGCCCGCGAGCCCCCACACCACACGTGTCCCCCGCCGGCCCAGCTACCAGCGCGCGCATGCTGCGTGTGAAAGGCGCGCGCGTATGCCGGGGTACAGCGCTTTGACTTCCCAGGGGGACAGGGCGGGGTGGCCCCAGGCGAAGGCGAAGGGGGTGTTGGTTTGGGTGGGGGGTGTGGTGCGGGTTGGGGGGTGGGGGTGGGTGTTGTGGGTGATGGTGTTGAAGTAGGCGGGCCAGTGGGCGAAGGGCTTCATGGCGTTGCCGACGGCGACGGTGCAGAGAGAGGAGACGGGGTGGGTGCTGCGGTAGAGGGGGGAGATGCGGCTGTGGCGGAGGGTGTTGGGGGTGGGGCCGGGGAGGAGCTTGTGCGTGGCGAGGAGCTGGGCGGAGATTCGGGCTGTTTTGTTTGGGGGGGAGGTTGGTTAGAGAGGGTGGTGGTGGGTTTGTTTGGGTTAGAGGGTTGGCATACCGATGAGGGATTCTTGGGCGTTCAGGGCGAGGGCAAGGTCGTGGATGGAGATGTGCCCGTCGAGCGGGATGTGGTCAAAGGCTTTCCAGTCGATGAAAATGTTCCATGCTGCGATATCAGCCATCTAGGGCGGTTAGTTGCTCGGCGTTGAAGTCGTGTTTACGGGACACGCACCACCATCCAGTCGGACTTTATTACATCAATTCCTGGGGCTGTCTCAAACGCGATGCTCTTGGCTGTGTGGGCGATACTGCGCCGGAGCTCTAGCTCGTTGTCCTCATCGCCGGGTTTCGTCAAAGCCGCGAGTTTTTTTGCGTTCGTGAGCAGTTCCTCAGCGGCCGGGACCAGCTGAAAAGTCGGTGTTGATGCCATGACAGTTAGGTGCTATCGAGGAATTGGGGGAAATTGACCACAAAAGCTGCCTCGGTGAACCGTAGGCTCGGTTTATAAGGGCAAGACCGGGAACATAACCGCACATTTAACATGCACGAGTTTATCCACTTTGCCATCTATCTTAGTTCCGGAGACCCGTGGGGAAGCTCTTTGACGTCCGAACAGTTGGGCCTCGCCAAGTAAACGAGCTTTTGTAAAGGTAGCTTCTTTAGCACGCCACGTTGCAGCTCCTCAAAATGCAGTGGTTGGTCCGGATAGTTTGCTTGTCGTGGTCCACTGCTTCTCATCATACCACGGGAGGGGGGCCGGATGAAACAGCATCTCAATGGATATGATATCCTGACTTTCTGCATCATGCTAGGTGCCTTCCTACCTACCTAAGTACGGTTGCGGTGTTCCCGTACCTACCGAAGCCTCGGCAGCAGGCAGATGGGAACAGGCTCGGTAATACTTACAACAACCACGCCTTATTCTCCTTTCCTAATTGCATTTATTTCTCTCTTTTTTCTTTGCCTCGTTTTCTTCTCTCTTTCTTCTTGGTTTCTTTTACTTCTTTCCTTTTTTCTGGGTTTCATTTACTTGTTTCTTGATTCTTCTCTCTTTTTCCTTCGTCTCCTTTTTTCTTTTCTCCATTTCTTACTTTCATTTGAGGTTCGGTTTTCTTTTTTTTTGGCAAGCGGGCGGCACGTTGGGCGGGAATAGCCTGTTGTTCAGTCCACTCGGTACCTACCTACCTTACACTTTTCAGCGGCCTCGCGCCTCGTTGGGTGCGTAGAAGGTCAGCGGAGTCTTGGTCTTGAAAGGCTCCGTCTTCATGGTCTTGCTGTTGAAGGCCTTTTGTTGCGCTGAGGGAGGGCAAGCCTTGAGAGCGGTATCGAATCGAATCCTGAAGTTCGCCGCGGCTGGCCAGCGCAGCTATTCTGACGCGTGGAGCGGAACATTTCGGAGGTTTTGGGGCCGTGGTATGCGATCGACTGGTTAACAAGCCTCGCCGCGCCTAACTGCCCCGCCAACCCCAAATTATTTTATGTACACAGTTTTGGATCATCTCATTCTTGACTACCTACCTAGGTACTCTGATCTGCGACAACCTAAACATCCAGCAGTACCCAGCCGCACGTCTTTGGACACTACCCACCTTCCAGTTAACTAGTACCATGGTGGCCTCCACCGTGACGACGCTGCCTTACTTCTGCGACTCAGGCGAGTTGCCTACTCCGCTCCCGTCCATGGACGAGATCCTTGCAGCCGACCAGACCTTCCCGACCAATACCGAAGACAAGTGCCGACAGGTCGTCCTCGTCAAGGAAAATTTCATCGTCAAGCATGGCGTATCGCCTTGGGTGTCCGAAAACGAAGGTCACGCGCTCTTGCTACTCGCCAAGTACCCCTCCATCCCGGCGCCGCGACTCTACGCCATGTATAGAAACGAGGAGAACAGGCTCTTCCTGGTCATGGAATACAAACCCGGCACGCCGCTCAACACAGTCTGGGACGGCCTCTCAGAGTACGACAAGCTCGACATCACCGGCCAGCTGCGGGACATCTTCGCCCAGGTGCGCCAGATCCCTTCACCGTGGTTGTTCAGCAATGTGACGGGCGGGCCCCTGAGGCATCGCTTTTTCTTGTCGACGAAACCCACGCCCCAAATCAACGGCCCGTTCATAACCGAGAGTGACTTTTCCATGGCCATGGCGATACGGTCACGCAGGAATTGGGAGTCCAGCGGATACAAGCCCTGGAGCTCCGAGTTCTTTGAGCGCCATCTCCCTGCGGCCTTGGCCGGCCACACCATCGTTTTTACGCATGACGATCTCCAGCGCAAGAATATTATAATGTCTCGGGTGGGTGGTGGGGCAGCTGGGGGGAGTTTAGACGAGAGAGCTGGTGGGTGGCGTGTGACGGCTGTTGTGGATTGGGAGGATGCCGGGTGGTATCCGAGTTACTGGGAGTATGCCTCGGCCTTTGTCGATTTCATATGGGACGACGACTGGCCTGAGAAGTTTGAGAGGATAATTGAGCCCTGTCCCCTGGAGGCGGGGTTGCTGAGATTTGTGAGACAAGATGTGGATGGTTACTGATCAGATCGCCCGCTGGCGGAACCTTGGTGCATCTTTCCAACTTACCAGAGGGTATAGAGAGGACATATGGTATTATTAAACAGGCGGCTCCAGCTCACTCTTGAGCGCCAGTCCCGGTGAACGACACTCCATTAAGCTTTGCCCGTTCTGGGTGATTTCATACATACCCCTTCGGTCCTCCCCAGGCTCTGGCAGTCATCAAATTTCCATAGGCATCAGTGGCACCCTTGTTGGCTCCGTTGCTGACCAGAAGCCGACACATCTCTTTTAGCTTGTAGTAGTTCGCATAGTGGAGGGCCGGAGCGTTGTATTTACTCCAGCGGACAGAGAGCCCCCCGCTCTTCCAGTCAGCGGAGCCCCCCATGTCGATTATATACTGTACCACGGCGTGCTCATTTTTTATTACAGCCTCAAAGAACGCTTGCCTCAATCCATCCTGGGGGAGCCTCGCCAACTTTGCTGCCCAGGCAGGGCTGACACCCGACTTGACCGCTAGGGAAGCGGTGATCTCTGCAAGGTTCTTCTGGCAAGTGGCAACATACCAGGCGACTTTGCGGCCGTTATTGTCCTTTACGTGGGGATCAATCTGGCTGTCCTGAACGCGGCCCTGAAGGGCCATGTTGCCGATTATATTGGCCGCTTTGTGGAGTGTTGCTATTATGCCGTTGCCATCACTGGTGACAGATGGCGGATCCGTATCGACGAACGGCTTCCTCGGGCCCTCTGCTATCGCGTGATGTGGTAGGCGCCCGTACATAATGATGTACGGCAGGATATGGTCGAGCTCAAAACTTACGCCGCGTTCGGCACCCAACAATATTTCCCAAGCCGCCTCAGCAAGGGGCTGGAACGCATCCCGTCGATTCTTGCCACCTCGGACCAGAAAATCCCAAAGCTGATTCAGGTCAGCCCACTCGGCCGGCGTGCTCCTATCCTTGACGATGTAGAGCTGGTACAACCAACTACGCAGCTCCTCAACAGACTCAGCCACCGGGGACGGCGCCGAGGGCGGTGATCTCAGACGGCGCAAGCCCACCTCGCTCGCGATGGCGAGGCCGTTGAGCATGTCCAGCACGCCCTTCTCATCCTGCGTCACCTCGCGCTCGTGCTGGGTCTTGTAAGTCATGTCGTGCTCGACCTCGGCCCACGCGTGCATCATCACGGTGCTGACCTGGATCTCCACCACGCGCCTCTCCCAGATCTCGGCCGCTTCTGGTCCTAGCTCTCGCGGCTGCAGCCGCCGGGGCACCTTCGCAGCCAGCCGGATCGCGCCGTACCCCGAGAACTGCTGCTCCACGCCGTCCAGGTCGAGATCGTCGGTGGGTGCGGCCTTGGACGCGTCCGCGTCTAGCCATTTCGCGTGGAGCTTACGGAGCCTCTTGACGTCCGCCAGGCCCCCCATCCTTTTCGGGTCCTTGGCCATCTCGTACCCTGCGTTCTGCAGCAGGCTGAGAACCTTCTTGGTGTCGCTGGGGAAGTAGAGTATGATCCGCGCGCCGAGCATGTCGTGGAACACGTGGCTGAGCTCGTCGCGGTTCCTGAAATAGCCCAGCTCGGTTTTGCTCATCTTGTATCGCTCGAAATGCTGCTCCCAATTCTCTTTCCGCTCCATCATCTTTTGCCGAATCGCTTGCGCGGATAAACGGTCCTTTTGTCGGCGTTGGGCAGTCCCACTGATGGAGACCCAGGTCTTCACCCTGGAGACGATGGGGAGATGGCGGATGGACTCCTGGGCCAGGACGTGTTTCAGGTCTTCAGCAACGATGTTCAAGCATCGCCGATACTCGCAAGCCTCATTATCGTAGACATCCTTTAGTTCATCCAGGAGCTCTTGCGGTCTATCTTCTGGAGGTTCTTGTGGGCTGTGCGGGGTCTTCTCGGGATTTATGCGGGGTTCTGTGCTGGGGGAAGGGGATCGTCTGCTAAAAGACATGTAGGCATGGCTCTTCGCCAACACGAAGAATCCGTCGCGGCTCCTAGAGGGGCATTGTCTGGGGTCCATGTGGAGGGGTGCGATGGGATCTACCCTAGGATCTCGATATGGACGTCGTCGATTTTCTTTCTCGGCAGTAAAAGGAAAATATTGATATGGGCAAGATACTGGAAACTGGGAACGTTTCTTAATAGCGAAGACTTTTGTGTCTTGGATCACCACGCTCTACGACTTCACTTGCCCTGTTGACCGCCACGACCCCAAAACAATTTGAACAAGACACACCTTAAGTACCTCAAGGCCGTTGGCTGGAATAAAACGAGCGCTGCCCCGTGGTTGGACTTCGTTGGTGAACTTCACAATGCTCAGCTCTGGGATTAGACTGTGGCTTGCGATCGTTGCCTAATTAGGTCGATACGCGTGGCTGGTCTCAAGTCCAAAAGGTCAAGAGGGTGTCTTTGGTTGGGCCCTACCTGGTTGGTGCAATGCACGATCTTCGGCTTGTTGTTGTCGTTGGCCCATTGGGCCCCAGCTGGACCTCGAGTTGTGCGGGGAAGATCAGCTTGTTGTCTCACTTACCTCCCTTTGGTATTGCGGGACTAGGGCGACAGGTATGTACCTTACCTAAGGGCAAGAACTAGGATTCGTGATATCATCATATCAGCCCGTCGGACTCGGTAATCCTTAAGTGTTTAAATCAGGATCCTTGACGACCTCGAGAACTTCGAAAGAGAGATTTGTCACTCGCAACAGATCAGTATGAGGCTCGCTCGGTGACATTTTGGGAGCAGGTATCATCCACCACCTTCCAACAGGCACGGAAACGACCAGGCCATGGGTGTAATTGCACAAGGCGCCTGCAGCGATGTGCTCAGACAGCTTCAATGAAATAGATCTGGGGCAGTGTTGCTTGGCAATTTGGGGGCTGCTCGCTGGGAATCGCCTCAAACACGAACCGTGACCCCTGAACGCATCCACGGCACAGATGTCCTCATTTTCAACCACCAAAATTCGGGCAGTGAGTCACCGGCCACTAATCCGACGAAAAAGCCTTCGCGTAAATCAAGAATACAAATCTCGATTCCTTCCCAATTTATTTCTCCTTTCCCAACACCTTGACAACCTACAGAACACAATACACGAAAACACCATGGGCCGATATTACAAGGGTTCAGCTGAACCCTGGGATGAGTGTGACTGGTGTCTCGCGAAAACAGGCTGGAGCCAACGGCCCTGTCTTTACCGCACTTTTCCAGAAGGATTGTCATCCTTAAGACGGAAGGAGTGTGAAGACGTGCGCACACGGAACGCAGCCAAGCGAAATAAGACGTTGCCAAAAGCCCACAGGAGGGCCATGAGGGCGGCGCCGGCAGCGGCAGCCGAGGCCAAGCACAAGGCAATTCCGAATTCAACCATCCGTACGAACATCACCAATGCCTTGGTTGTCGACGGGCTCAGCAACCTTGATGAGAGGACGCCCTTGGAAGCCGATGGCGGGAAGGACACCGGGACGGAGGCGAGAACGGAGGCGAGGACGGAGACTGAAACCAAAGAAGAGGTGTGTCCGTTGCCTGCTGTATCAAAACCAACACCAAAACTGGAACATCGCCACGCGAACGACCCGAGGAAAACACAACAGCGACAGCCGAAATCATGCACCGGGCTAAAGGGGGTGATCGACGAGGGCGTTGGCCTATCATCTGACGACGGCGATGTCGCGAGAATACACGCATCGAACTGGAAAGCGTGGCCACGGGGCCAGGAGCCAATTGCAGCTGATGCAACCGGCGAGGACAAGGAGGTTGCGGAACTCGTTCGGCAGGGATTCATTGGCGTCGAGGAGCTTCGGGTGGGTCGTGATGACATTGGGGGGGATGTGTGTCCCTGCACTGTTCGGTTTATTGAAGCAAGGAAGAAGGGGAGGAGGGGGGATAATTGTGGGCGGCAAGGGGTGCAAGTTGTGGGACATGGGCCGTTGCACGCGGAGTTGGAGTCGGATTGGTGGTATCTGGATGACGAGGCGTACGCCCAGCTTTTGAGCGACGGGGGGGCCCGAGCTGGTGCACTGGAGCGAAACGTCGTCCTTCGTACATGTAGATTGAAGAGAGCAGCAGTGGGTGGTCTGGTGATTTCTGTCCACAACAAGAACCTCGGTTGCGGATGGCCGGCGAGAATACATGGACGAGCACGGCCTGAAAAGCAAATCCTTGGAGGGAAATTCCTAATGCATCTATCTACCTACCACCCGTAATCCATAGGGGCGAAACTCAGATCCTGATCCTCTGTCATCTCCGCAAGTATGATTGCCCACTGTTCATCCCAGTCGTCTCCTGCATCCGCGGCGGAGATGCCATCGTGGTTCTTTGCCGTTTGGGTATTGTGTGAGTCTAGTAGACCGTCCTCGATGATGTCACACTCCATAGTGTCATCATCCTGCTCACCAAGCCAATAAACCGGCTTCTCTTGTGTGGCCCCTGGGTGGGCTACCGTGTCAAATGGAGGTGGCCACTGCCGCAGAGATCGGGTTACCATTTCAACCACATCATCGAGGTGATACTCTAGGCTGCAAGGAAGATAGTACCAAACGTCGAATCCGCACATATCGCAGGCCTCTAGAGCGCGCCTTGCCGCGCCGTGTTCAGCGTTCCATATGCTCGAACACGATAGCGGCGTTTTCGATTCTTCCGACCACTGCCGAATGGCCTGGATTGCAATCCGAGTGGCCTCTTCGATTAAGGCCGTTCTCGTATCACAGCTCGCATTGACGATTTCCGCCACACGCTCCATGACCAGGCGGGCGACCCGCAGGTCACATGGGCTGGGTGCCGCAGAGTAACGATTATGGATCTCCTTGTACACAAAGCCGCCCTCAAGATCCTCCTCATACTCGCTCTCGTCAAATTTAGCCAACTGTTCGACAAGTTCTCCGAGGGGGAGCTCTAGCGGATGGACACAAGGGCGATGGCTGAAGCCGGCCATCCGCTCTGTACGAGGACAAAGCTGGTTCCAAAGCGTGAAATCTTCCCCCGTCCATTCACGATGCCCTCTGAGAAGCTCCACCACCGCGCCATGTCCATGTTCAGACGCAAGGCCGATAGCATGCAAATACTGAACGCGGCCGTACCCTTCCGTGTCAGTCCCAGCTGCCAAGAGCAGGTACACGGTGTCGAGGCGGCCGTTCTCCGCTGCCGCTTCGAGAGCTGTACGGCCGGAGCCCTGGCCCCGGCGAGCGTTGAGGTCGGCGCCACGAGCGATGAGGCGCTGGACCAAACCGACGTGCCCTTTTCCAGAGGCCAGTTGTAGTACGGTGGACTGAAGGTATTTGGCCGCCGACCGCCCCGGATCGTTGACCTCGGCCCCAGCGTCGAGCAGTATATTCGCTCTTGAGGCAGAGGAAGTGCCTAAAAAGGATTGAGGTTGTTGCAGCTAAAGCTGCAGCAGCCGAAACTACATAAGAACTGTGAGTGGGCTTGTGCACAGGCCAACCTGCAGGGCGCTAGCCCTGCAGGTGCCAACATTCGCGATGTGGAGTTCGTCATACAGGATGGCGGTGGCGAGGGCAGTATCACGATTCGTTCCTCGTATGGCGTTTATGTCGACATGGCGAGCGAGCAAGGCCTTGACGATATCCACGCGTCCTCGGCGGACTGCGATGCGGAGTGGTGTATCATTGCGCCAATAATCCCAGTCCACGTCGACAGCACACCTCGCGTCAACATCTTCACAGCTCTCGAGTATTCTCTCGATGAGGCCAAATGGCAGCTCTCGATCGATGGTAGCACACAAGGTGAAACCGTCGGCCTTATATCCCGCCTCTAGTAGGAACTCTGTCATTCGTGCATCGGCGTTCCTTTCTACCGTGAACAGTAGCGGTGAGACCGACGGCGACGGCAACATATGCCAATTATCTGAGCCGGTGAAAGGTGGGCCTGCAAACCGCATTTGGTGGTATTCGGCGGATAATCTTTCCGGGCCAAGTAGAAAATGATGGGACGACTGGGTTCTGGGGTATGCTAGGGTGGCTAAGGACTGCGTCATGGTGGGAGGCGGGTATGTTAGGAGAGCGGTAATGATGTTTGGACATGCGTGCCATGCCGCAATGGACACTGCGTGGTTCTCAAGCGCCAAATTTACATTGACGCTGCCGAGGTCGAGGCTGCGTCTTCGTAGCAGCTCCATAAGAAGCGGGGATGGAGTTCTCTGGTGTGATTCCGTCAGGAATAAAACCTCAGCACATACGGCCCCCGAATCGTAGGCCCTCACGTCCAGATCGAGCGCCATCATGATGACCTCTTCATCACGGCTGAGGAAAGCGTTCTCGAGATAAGATCTCCCTTCCTTATCCAGGCACATATTCCACGGCTCCCGAAACAAGCTCGGTGGGACATGGGCCTTGATGTGTCCGATGTCTGGGATCCGGAACAGTGATGCGAAGTCTCCGTCCCAGCCGCCGACCCCCCGCATTGCCAGACGCGCGGCAAGTACTTTATGGCCATTGTATAGTGCAGCCTCGTAGGCAGTAACGCCATCTTTGACGGATTCGCTGGGGTTTATTCCTGCGTCCAGGAGCTGTTCAACCAACTCCAACTGTCCTTCAACGACTGCATCAAACAAATCATTGGCAGTTGCGGTTGCACCGCGCTGTAGAAGCATAAGTGCAACATTCCACTGCTTCAAAATAACTGCCAATTGGAAGGTCCTCAGCCTCTGCTTGATGCTAGATGTGTGTTCCACTGGTGTTAGCCCGGCCAATGGTGGCCAAAAGATGCTGTTATTGGTCAGCGCAATTTCTCGTCCCTCATTAACGTCGACGCCGCTTTGGATTAAGAGTTCTGTGATCTCGCAAGAGCCTTGCGAAGTAGCGAGTTGCAGAAGAGACGGCGCTGGGCATTCAGCCTTGACCATGGCAAAACGGGACTTGGTGTAGCAAGTACCACCAACAAGGCTGGCCGTCGGGGGACAAGAATGTGCTCCAAGTCTGAGAAGAAGTTGGACAGCCTCCACCTGATTCCATCGCACAGCCGCGTAGAGGGGGGACAGGTGTCCGCTCGGGGTGTTGACGCTTGCTGAGAACTTGTCGTAAAGAAACGCGATGACTTTGGTGTATCCGCGCGCCGACGCGATAATCATGGCGTCGGCTGTCATGCGGCCGTCTGAAAAGTCCATCTTCGAACGGTATTTGCTGTGGATCAACCTGCATAATTCTAGTGCCTTGTCTTGGTCTTTGGCGAAGCTCTCCCGGAGATCGACTGTCTTTTTGGATTTGGTAACCATGGTCGCGCTGTGGAATGAAGCTGCAAACCCGAGACAACCCACGTCTTCAACGTGCCGCAGGACTTCGAAGTAATCGCTAGTTGCAAACGGACTGTAAAGAACACTCATGGAGTTGGCCAAAGGGCCTCGATATCGAAGATTGAGATCCGCTCCTTGTGCCACTAGTCGTTCAATGTGATGGAGGTTCCCTGTGATGAAAGCCGCATGCAGAGCCTCAAAGCCGGATCCATTGATACGGGCGCCGTTTTGGCGTAGGAACTGGGTCAAGGTGCACGGGAAATCCTCGTAAATGGCGACAGCAAGAAGCGACCAATCTTCACATGGAACGCGGTAAGAACGCAGTTTGGCTCCAGCATCGACCAAAACTGTGATGAGACTTTCGTAGCGTTTCGTGAGGGCAAATTCAACTGGCGTTCCACCAGTACCAAACCCGCCCCGGTTGATCCTTTTATAAATCACCGGAAACCCAGACATTTCATCTGGTCTAAGTCGACCATCTGCCTTCAACAAATTGCACGCGAAGCCGGCAGCTCCAGTGAGGACAGCTGCCTTGAACAAGGCATCGATAATAGCCGTCATCGTTAGACTCCTGTGGGAGTGGCCGACTAACTTCTTAAGGGACTGAAGCTGGGAAAGGCCCGAAAGTTGGCAGAGAGCAACCAGTTCTCGGGCGCCGTCGAACTTTCCAGAATAGTGGCAATCGAAGATAAACCGGTTGGACACGAGAAATAGTAAGACTTTGAGCAATTCCACCTGGATGTCAGGTAAGCTGCCACCTGCAAACGTGGTGGCTCTGCGGAGATTCTCATCGGGATAGGCTTGCGGAAGAACCATGTCGAATCGCGCAGCCAGGCGGTCGACGCTCTTCCGGGCGAGGAGTTGGATAGCCATCCCTTCGGATCTGAGGGCGACACCCAGGGACCTCCTGATCATTTGTTCAAAAACTGCCGGAAGGAGTGTTGACTTTTGTGAAGTTGATAAAGACACGACATCGGGTCGTTGCACAATTTGCAGGAGCTCTCGCGTGGCCTCGGGCTCGGCAAGGGCGCCAATGACCGGCTTCCGGGGTTTAGGCAGGAATTCGATGCTTTTAAGGACAACTCGGAAGTCACGCTCGAGAAACTGGAACCACGGGAGGCTCTTGGGATAAGTATACTGGGGTGCGTCCGGTGTGCCAGTTACCAAGCTCGCCGAGGAGCCTCGCGGCGTGCAAATGTACAGCGGAAGCTCTTCGGGTGGAGCAGCAGGGATTGCTAGAGCAAAGTTAGGCATCAATCTTTGACTCGGACATAAAGACTGTGGTCTCACAGTGGATCCATCTGGGTGGGTTGTGGCGGGTGGTCTCGTTCTTGACCTTCTCCCGGGGTATACGTCGGCCGGAGAGAATGACGGTTGTCGCCTTCCTCAAGCAAGTCTGCCGGTCCCGGATAACATGTTCCACGTGGCGCCAGATGTTGGGCTGAAGCTTCTTACGGAAGCCCCAGCTCCTGAGCTTTGATTCGACCTGTCCTTTGCTAAGGATGGTCGCGAGATTAGCAAGAAAGGAGACGAAGCCGTGGACCAAGGATCGGTGACATACTTTACATCATGTCCTTGACGCAGTAGCTCAGCAACAACATCTTCCAGCTCCATCCCATCAACCAGGTACATGGTATACACCAGATCTTTAAAGGGCTCCCAGTCTCTGTCCCCTAACTGGGTCTTTTTCCGTCTGGGAACGAGCTCCAGAGACGTCATGCTGATTAGCTGGCCTGGTGGTTTTTAATGGACTGGTGAGCGGTAAAAGGAAGGCGTGAGGGAACGGTGACGAGGGCTGTGGACGGTTGGGATTGAAGTTGGGCGAAGACACAGCCTGGTGCGAGCGGGCAGTGTTGGCACCTGCAGGGCCAGCGCCCTGCAGGTTGGCCTGTGCACAAGCCCACTCACAAGCAGTTCTGAGTTTCGGCTGGTGCAGCTTTAGCTGCAACAACCATCCAATCCTTTTTAGGCACTTCCTCTGCCTCAAGAGGCAGGTAAGGTAATTTGAGACTGCCCTCGCACACCTCAAACACGCGGACCATGCAATCCTCCAAGAAAGTGATTGGGCAATAGCACAACCTGAAAGTCAGGGTCTCGGCATGCATGATCTGCCTAGCAATCATTGGCGGCGTTCCAAGCCGGGCAAGCCCCAAGGAGAGCTGCCAGTCAGACAGCGAGCTTGCTCCACCTCAGCCAACATGCGTCACTCTTTGCGATGATTGGCCATTCCCACAACCTGAGAATGCGAGGGCATGCTCTTGCGCAGTGGTTGGCTACTTGCAGAACCAAAACTTGTGCTTGCTCCACCGAGGCGAGCAACACGGAGGGGATTGTGCTAAGTTCTGTTCGATGTAGGAACCTAATATAGGCATCAGACAGGCCTAGAAACAGTGAAAAGGCATAAGACGTATATTTCACCCTCCACGCGGAGACTTCCCCTTCTCACCCTAAGTCCGCCGCTTGACAACCGACCTAGCCTACACCTATCTGTATGACCTCTCCTCGTAATATGGTAAACTGATTATATTCTTCCAATGTCCCTCTCGCAAGAAGTCATAATATCCATTGTAGGCGTCATAACCGCTTTACCACCATCATATCTTGCTCTCCGGTATTGCCTCTGGCGATCTCGACAAAAACCAACCAACCGCGCACACGATCTCGAAGGTACACTACTCCGAATCTTTCTCTGCATTGCGACTAGTGGTTTGCTAATACAGCGCCTAGTTCAAATATGCAGTCCTCCATTGTCACAGACAACGGCCTCAGCTCCCACTCTGACGGCCACGACATCCTGTCCTTCCCCTAATGGGCTTCTCCCTGGCCCCTGCGAAGGCCGTTCTGAAGCCCTTTCAGTCCAACCACATGCGGAACTTCAAACTGCCCAGACTACCCAAAGGAACGACCTCGATCAAAAGGAAGAAGGTGGCCACCAATGATACGGGTCCTTATGCAAGGCAAAGTTCCTGGGTCGGCGCGGCCGGGGGGGGGGGGGGCACAATCAAAAATGGGCGCTGGAAGGTCCCTGGAAAACTCCCGTGAACCAATCTAACCGATCCGAAACGCGTATTGGGGAAAACATATGGAAGGGGCGCTGTCCCACACAGCGGTGGCCTGAGCGCATTGCTAGAATGTTTGCTACCTATCCTGTGGGGCATCTGGGAATAACTTCGCCGAGGGGCTTCGGTGGACTGTGCTTGTACAGGCACAGCCCGTTACATGTTTTGGCCAGAGGGTGATCTTGGCGGATGTGGAAGATTGGTACTACCAGTTTCTTACAACAGAACCCCGCCGTTTAGATAACACCACTCCTTATCTTCGCCTTTGCTTCAAGGGAGCTTTGGTTGTACATCTTTGGTTGTACATCTTGTACGCGAATACCTGCTGGTAGATGTAAACCCCAACCATGAGTCCTAGAAACCCGAGACTTGCTGTCCCAGTGGCCAACAGCACAACAACCGAAAACCAATAGCAAACGACGGCGTATGTCCGAGCAGGGGCCTCAGAGATGGATGGATCCGCAGCTAGGCCGACCTGCATAGCAGCTAAAAAGATGGATAACACGGCAAAGATGGCCACAAGTGGTGCAAGCATATCCATGAAAACGGTTCCCCACTCGCCATGCATGTGAAAGTAGGTCACTTTGATGCCAAGAATCCGGATAAGCCAGTTGAGACGCCGTAGCCTGAGTTCGCCGTACGAGTATCGCGGTGAAACCTGGTCGTCGGTGAGCTGGGAGAATTGGTTGATAAACCTTGAAAACCTTTCAAAGCCATCGGTCGTATTCTCCATGCCAAAAGGGAGGAGAGGCACTTTCTCATCATTTGCCAGCCGATAGTCCGTTTCCGACCGGATGAGAAATGTATAGCTGCGCATGAATCCAGCTGCCGCCTTGAAGATGTCTGGGTCTGCCTCGGTGATCCACTCCCAAAAAGCGGCAGAGAACAGGTATGGCGGGATAGGCTTGACAAAAATGCAACCCTGATACCACACGAGATGTAGGTTGTGGAATTCATTGGGCGTAACTTGGTGGCCCCGGGCGGGCTGGAAGTGAATGGGGAACACATGAGAGCTTTTTGGTGTCGTGATCTGTGTGGCTGTGAGCTTCTTTACGGGCTCGGCGGCTACATGTACCTAGCCGTCCACTGGATGTCATGGACTTACAAATCGAAGGTGTGGCGACATCCTATCCAGCTCGAATATATCCCGAAGTCGAGGTAGCAGATGCTCGTCTGCGAGGACAAGGAGGGGCTCTCCGGGGAGAGTTGAGCCATTGCCGCTCCGTGCTAATACTTTTCTGTTGTTCAACAAATCGACTTTGAGCTTGTCATTGAGTTGCGTTTCTGCAGCGATAACAAGGGGACCGGTCATCGTGGCCAGGACTGAGCAGGATATGGTAGTTTTTTGAGAGGAGATTTTCATTTCGCGAACACTCAAGCCCAAGGCAGGGGTTCGGTGCAGGTTTACGCCACGGGGAGTGCCACGAGGCTTGCGCGGGATTCGAGGCTGTCAAATCCCCCGCTTTCCAACGTGCAGCGAGGGGCAATAATCTGTTGGAAATCCAACAGCCAGAGTAGCGATACTTCTGAACAGGGCGAGCAACGTAGTACAAGCAAGGTCACTGATTCGAGGCCTCAATTCGTGATGCAATTGTCTGACAGTCTGATTGATGTAACTGGAAGAAAGGAGATCCTCTGTGCCCTGAGAAACGCTGCATTGGGCGCAGTCTGGTGGGCCCAATAAGCCCCTGTCATTGACCCGCCGTACCGTATCTTCAGCCACCCGTTTTGTGCAACATCAGTTGCATTGATTTATGTGGGGCGTTGCAGCTGCAATTCAACTGCAATGTGTATTTCCGTGTAATTGCTCCGGACCCTGCGCCTTCTCACCAGACATCAAGTCAAGACCATGACCGAAGCGAAGCTCCTTGAGGTCTTACAGAAGCTTGAGGTTATGTTTCCGGATATGTCTCAGCGTTATCGGACATTCATACTGCGCCTACCAATACCTTTCGTTGGCTGTCGGGCCACCGGCCAGGTACTGAGACGGCGACCACGGCGGCCAATACGTTCAACTCATGGCTTCGATCCGAAGAAGAGTCGAACAACGTCTTTTGGATAGCGGGAAAGCCTGGGACTGGAAAGAGCACATTTATGAAGTTCCTCGTGGACAGCCAATGCATTCCGTCTGTTTATGGGGCGGGAACTCAGACAATCTTCTACTTTTTCCTCCTGGTGGGGCGACCAATTCAGAGGTCGATAGAACGGTTGCTCTGCAGCCTCCTCCATCAGCTCCTCGCCGCAGCCTGGGAAGGCAAACACGGTATTCACATGCGAAGCCTCGCGGCTGGATTCACCGGGAATGATACCCAGGACGTGGTGGAGCAACTGGACAGCTTGGGAGAAAGAAAACTTAGCCGATGCTCCTCAGACTCTTAGAAATTCTGGGCAGCTGTGAACACACACAGGAAGACGAAATAGTATAGTCTTACTGAATTGTGTGTGTGTGTCTAAGCTAACTAACAGGAAGCGATGCCACTGCGTGGGTTAAGCCCACGCAGGGCCGGAATGCCGGCGCCCGCAACAGCAGCTCACGGCGCATCCACGTCTGCATCGACGGCCTGGATGAGTTCAAGTCAGATAATGGACCCCAGTCTATCCTGCCGCTGGTGTCGAAGCTCCAGTCTCTATCCCTGGGGTGAGACTGATCGTGTCCAGCCGGCCCGAGGACGAATTCAGGGATTACTTCAAGTTGAGGCCACATCTCCTGCTTCAAGATGTCACAGCCGAGGAGATGTCGAGCTTTGCCAACGAGAGGCTCAGTGTTGGGGAAATTGAGCGGGATCTACGGATATCCATTGTCGAGGCAGTCGTTGAAAGGGCCGAAGGCATTTTTCTTTGGATAGCCTTGGTTACAAAAGCCTTGCTGGCGGACCTAGAGGCTGGCAAACACCCTGAAAGCCTTCGAGAAAGTTTGCAGGAATTCCCCAAGGGCATGTCGCAGCTGTACACTTTGATATGGAACCGGCACAATAAGGGTGTACCGAAACACCAAGCCGAAGCTGCACTTTATTTCCGCCTCCTAATCGATTCCAGGGCCATTATTGACGCAATCCCCGGACCTCGATTTCAATACTGGATTTGGCAAACCGGAAACTCGATCACTGCCTTTATCGGGGACAAATTCAGAAGATTATCGCTACACCATAAGGATATAACGCTTTTCCACATCGCCGTCGCATCTGACGAAACTCTAGCAAGATCTCTTCTCATGGACGGTGATAAGATCCCGATGTTGTGTTGGCCCACTTCCATGCAGTCTCGCAGGCCCTCCCCGTCCGATGTGCTGGCATGATTGATGTCGACGTCAAACACAGAGGGCCTGCTGGTCCAGACCCTGAATCTAGCGTCCGGTTCATCCATCGAACAGCGCACGATTTTTTCACGCAGACGGAAGACGGCAAGGAGATACTAGCTCACGCGGCCCGTCTGGCGTGGCCCGAGAGATTCCGAAGAATTGTTCTTGCCAGCCTTGCGAGAAATTGGGCATTTCACTCCGTCTTCAACCAATGGTGTTTGCTATCCCGTCTTCGCATCGGAGCTTCACACAATACTTACCAGCGAGGGGATTCTCAAAGACAGATACACGAGCGGAAGAACTCGAGCAGTTAGTGGCAGCTCTGCCAAAAGACTAGGTCTACCTCGCAGTGACGGCCTCCAATTGAGCAGGGTCTCCACATTCGCTGCCTTCTTGGGGCTAGAGTCGTGGTTACTTGCCTCCAATCACCAAGATCAGGTGCGATTAGCAAATGCCTGTATGTCCTGGCGCACCAACAACTGGGGAACCTTACTTTGACCTTATCGGCTGGCTCTGGACCTTTGTTGCGCCATGGGGTTATACGAAAGTTCCGGATCAACTCACTGCTTTTGGCCCCATGAGGGCATCAACATCCCAGTGCTTTGTTACGAGCCTTGCGAGGCTTGCCGAAGTTGATAGGGAGTTTCAAGACATAGGGGTTACGATACTGCACACTTGGTATCAGCAAGAGCTCAGACGAGGTTCCTTCACCAAAATTACCGAAACAGTAGAGGGGGGCATGATGTATGGCTTCTCTTTCTTCGGCGACAGCAGCTTCCACAACACCGCATTCCCAGATGACACAAGTAATGTGCTTCTCTTCAACCAACTGTATCCTGATAAGTACAGTTGTTGCTGGGCAAAATTTCTGGTCCTCTTTAGCTTTCCTTTTGACCGTGGGTATCGTCAATTCAGAGCCGTGCAGTACTGCACAGATGAAGACCTCGGGCGAAAATGGGCGAGAATCATGGCGGTCGGCTACGTCGACAACTTATCCAAGGGGCCCCAAGCACCAAGCAGCTGGAGAGCAAGGGCGGTGCCGCTGAAGTACTGGGATATTCTTGTGCAAATGGCCGTCGAGGGCAAACATCAATCCGAGCATGCGGCAAACGTTTTCAAGCAGGTTCTTGACGACCCAGAGTCCAAGGACCTTGGGAAAATGCAAGAATACCTACTGGAGATTGGAGTCGCTTTCGGGGATGGGGAAGACGAAGACGCAGCCCAAGTGAAAGGCGAGCAGACAGGAAAGTAGGTAGGAAGGCTTGCGGTTCAAATTATAGTATTGGAAGCAGTATTGCTGACCAGGCTTCGGCCAGCGTGTTGGCAGGGCTGCCGTGAATTGAGGAGATCGGGAGACACCTCTATATGTGCAAGAAACCGTGTATGTGGAACATTCCTTTAAACAGTTCAGTTACGTGCGGGAACTTGGTACCTAGGCTGTTGTTAAGGGCGAGATCTACCATGACGTCAGCCCACCCGCATCTTGCTCAGGAACATTTACTCCAGAAAGTGCAAGGCGAATTGGAGTCGTAGCGACAACATTTGAATGCAATGTTGGCAGAATCTTGAGGAACGGTTTAGGACTACTTTTGACTCAAATCTTGCCAGATACCTTATATTTTTCGGGCTCTCGACTTGTTTCCCCACTTGTTTTTTTTCTCACCATCACATCATCATAGCTTGAATTGCAAAGCAACCTTTCTCTCGACGCTGCAAATCAACAAAACCAACCCGACAAGTTCTTACCCCATACCGAAAAAAAAACTTCGTCCCACCACTCGGTAAATACTGCCTCTCATCTCCCATTCTCATCTCGTGACTGCACCACCACATCCCCGATCGCCTACTGTCGTCAGCAAAATGATGGAGGATGAGAACGGCAACAAGCGCAGCGACGGGACCGAGCCCCATCAATATCAGGCCGGCTCATCCACAAACCGCGAGGAAGATCAATGGAAGGAGAGGCCACCGTACAAGATCCACGACAAGGGCCAGTTTGACGTCAAGTGGAAGGGAAAATGCCACTGCGGCGCCGTTCAGTACGAGCTTAGCCGGGAGAAGCCATTGGCTTCCAAGTACTGCCACTGCACCACCTGCCAGCGGCTGCACGGGGTAAGTAACAAGTTTGGGGATTTCCTGCTGCATCGTACCAAGGCTACCCAAGTTCTAACCAAGCCCAGGCACCCTTCCAATGGGCCACCATCTTCCAGAAAACCGACATCAACTTCACCAACGGCCACCACGACCTTGGCTGGTACGACCCCACCCACAAATCGACCACACACCACCTGCCTTGCAAGGTGCAGTGCGCCTATTGCCGGACCCCGATCATGGACGAGGGCAGAAACATGATTCTGCTGTTTCCCACTCTCATCGAGGGAATCAACACGCCGAAGGGAAAGAAGGCGTTCGAGGTGCAGTCCCACATGTTTTACCAGCAGCGAGTGGTTGATGTCAAGGATGGAAAGCCCAAGTTTGAGGGGCTCGCAGACCAGAGCGCCCGGGTAGATGAGGAGACAGGGGAGGTTATGGGGACTGAAACGTTAGAGAATTAATGAGTGGCTCCAGGGTCATGAAGGAGTTGGGGATAATCAATGAATTGACCACATTTTGTGCCTGTTTCGCCGCGTGTTCATTAACTCGCTCATGTTTCTTTGATTTAATTTTGGCTCGGTTTTCTTTACCTCTTCCTGGCTTTCTGTTTTTCTTCTTTCTTCCTTCTTTCCCGTGTCTTTTGATTTCTTATTCCCCTTCTGAGTTCGGCTTTTTTTTGGCCAAAGGGAGTCGGGAGTCGCCCCCAGCTCATGGTTTTGCCGATCAAGGGCAGTGCTTGGCACTCTTTGGCTTCCCATCTCAGCTTAGCTTGGGGAGGAGAGGATTATCTTCGCTTCTTCACCCCACAACACCACCCGCCATGCGGTGCGATACCTGTCTGAACCTCCAATATGAGGACTCTAAACCGGGAACTCAGTCCAGCGACATCCCGTTCAAGACGAACTACCATGAGACACTCGGCCCACTCCGCCAGTCAGCCGATGAGGGTTGTTACTTTTGTACCATGATTCTCGCCGGGCTGAACTCATCCCGGCGCCAGGACGAGGGCGCTCCCCCAGACAACACACCCATAAACCTCCGCCTATCCATGCAACGAGGATGGGATAAAATCAAGGGAACGCACGTCAAGGGAGATGGGATCCTCGCGGTGAGCATGGCCGGGATGCAGGGACACGTTAATTACAGAATGCAGCCCTCCGGTCAGGGTAGGAGAGCGAGCCCCCCCAGCCCATCTCCGTTCGTTTACTGACCGGAGTTGCACACTTGATTCCCCAGATCCTACCCATCCCCTTGTCCCAGACGCCATCAACGACACCCACACCGGCAGCGCGCGCACCATGGCTCAGATTCGATCGTGGCTCACCCATTGCCAAACGCACCACCACGCAACCTGCGCCCCCGCCCTGTCTTGGCTACATTTGGTAACTCATTCTCCTGTGTAGTTAAGTTGTTTCTAAACGTTGTGCCATCCCAACTCCGCGGTCCCTTCGTGTCAACATGGGCCATGCCCAAAACACAGTTTCAGACGGAACAAGACGGTCCATCCGAACACGAGGAAACAAATCTGACGGGTCAAACATCAGAAACGAAGTCCTGTAACATATTGAAAACGCTGCCTCTCCCAGGATATGTGGCTCTTTTCACTTCTTTTTTAGGTGTCACTTTCGTCTCGTCGCGTATCGTTCCACGGCATCAAAGAAAGCACCCACCCAGCCATCCCAGGCATCAAAGTCGGCCCCTGGCCCCATCGACACGGTCACATCACTTTCTAGAATCTTACCCATCCCATACTAGCGTCATGCCGAGATGTGCCATTGCCAAGGTAGGGGCAGTGGGGACTCCCTGCAGGTCACCCGGAAAAGAAATGAATGGATATCCACCTTTGCAACTTGCGCCATTCA